GCACTGGTATTTCTGGCCACTGTGGGATACAGAGTGTTGGACTGGATGGGCCTTTGGCCTGATCCAACATTGGCATCTCTTATGTTGTTATGTTCTTATGTTCTACAGTGAAATTCTCAACGAGGATTCCGGATATGAGCTTCGTTTCGATTGTCTTCTTCAGAAGTACATGTAGTGGTTTGGTGCAGTGGTTAGCCAGTTTGGTATAGTGGTTAAGTACGCAGACTCTAATCTGGGAGAACTGGGTTTGATTGGGTATGTAACAGCACACAATACAGTACAGTGCTCAATGTGCAAACTGACAATGAATTCAAATAATTTTCTACAGTAAACTACTCATCGAGTTTTACAGTGAAATTCTCAGTGAAGATTCCGGATATGAGCTTCGTTTCAATCATCTTCTTCAGAAGTACATGTATACTATCAAAGTTTTAATTCATTTATATCGGGAATCAATTTCGTATCTTCAGCTCTGTATCATTACTGAGCTGTTGCATGTAGTTAATAGAATACATGTACTTCTGAAGAAGACAATCGAAACGAAGCTGTCAGCGAGCTGCCATTTCCCTGGGACGTGTCCCATCCCCCTCCCTGTCTCCCAAAGCCTTATCCTGTTCATGTAGTGCCTCTGTAACTGCCAAGGTCTCCAGCTGGTGTGATGTGGTGTTATGTCTTGAAGCTCTGGCTTGTTTAGGTTTCCCGTGTGAACTCAACCTGTGTTTATGGAATTGGCCGTTGCTGTTCTCAGACCGCTTCGCGCCTTTTCTAATCTGTAAACCTGACGAGGGAAATATGTTCATTGGTTTAAACCTGGTTTGAATTTCCTTTTAATACACCTTCCCTGGGTATTGTAGTTATTCTTAACAATCTCTGTATGTTCGTGATCAACCATGCTTTGGAAATAAATCTTTCTTCTTTTTGAACGTGGATCTATTCTCCTGATTTGGGATCTAACAGATATTTAGAAAATATACAGTGCAACCCTAAGGACACTATCCTGGGAGTAAGCCCCAGTGAGTAGACTTGAGAGATTCTGACTGGACCTGTTTGTCATGGGCATGGATGAGGATGAGCTGACAGAGCCTGCAGAAACCACAGCTGGCCCCTCTGAAGCAGCAGAGGAGGATAGCTGGCAAGTGCCTGTAACAGCAGTCTTCACACCTGGCCCAGATAAGAAGGAAGAACTGCAAGCTGAAAGCCTTCCTGACTCACCACCATGTGTGACTCGTTTAAGGGAGCGACTGCGACAAAACTTAGCAAGCAGATGAAGAGAGGCCAGGCTACAAGGGAGATGCTCAGCCAGCCCAGGAGCCTGGCTGATTGTGCAGCTGGCTAATTGGTAGCAACATTTAACTCCACACTCTGGGTAGTACCCGTCGTGGAAGCAACAAGTCAGCTTTGTGCTGCTAGCATCCACTCTGGCTCGGCTCTTGCACCTAGACCTTTGGACCCCCTGGCTTTGGACTTTGCTCTGTGTTCCTGGCTCCTAACCCTGGCTTGGCTTTGGACTACGTTTCTGGTTAGTGATTTGGACTTGGCTCTGTGTTTCTGGCCCCTGACCCTGGCTTGGCTTTTTGGACTTTGTACTGTCTTCTTGGCTTCTGACCTTGGCTTGTTCTGGACTCCCTTTGACTGGCACCCCAACCCATGATACTGTTTAGGATTGCTCTCATAGTGTATCTACAACACACATGTGCTAACTCTTCACTTTCTGCTCTTGATGCATGAAGTAGGATGTGGAGAGAAAGATTAATAAAAACTAAGTTTTCTTAAATCTTTGGTTGAGATCCACAGTGTTAAGTGTAATGCAGAAAACTGTTGTGGATATATAGATTATGAGCTCAGACTTCTGTCTAAAAACTGGATGAGCTATCTATGGGATTACAGTCAAAATAACGATTGCTGTAATGGACAGGTTTGGGAACAATGCACATGCATGCATGTGTGTGCACACAAGGTTTTCGCTCATTGGAGCCTGGGTCACTCAGTTACAAGAGCATGCTTTGTTCTCCCCATAATTGTGACCTCAATTATTGAGTCATTCACTCATATAGAATAAATTAAAGGGGTGAACATTTCTTGCCTTTCCCCTAGTTTGGCTGATAAAAGCCTATGTAACTGGGAGCCATGGAGAACTAGTTAAGAACATAGCTCATCCCTTCATCTACAAATCTTCACTTTGAGTTATATTTCATGGTCACCCTGCAATGCAACAAAGATACAGAACCCTGAATTGGCTTCTATAAACAAAATCCAGTCATTAATGGCTCTATGTGGAGGTGCACATAATGGCTCTATGAGGGGAACAGAACACCGCTTGGTGATTCCAGCTTGCTTCAACCAGGGCCAGATCCTTTTCAGTGGTGGCCCCCACCTGGTGGAACGAGCTCCCGGAGGAGATCAGGGCCCTGCGGGACCTTATGCAGTTCCGCAGGGCCTGCAAGATGGAGCTCTTCCGCCAGGCTTTTATATAGGGGCCGCCACCTCTGCCACATCTATTACTACCATCATTGGAACAATGGGGTTGGGAGTGGTCCCCGGAAGAACTGCCATAATTCTGCATGGCACTGATGCTGCTGGACTGGCTTGGACCATCGACAGGACAATTTCACCCTAATGAAATGATCGATACCATCTTCAGAGACCATCTTGTTGTATGGAGCACTTTATTTGTTTTGTTGTGACTTAATAGCTTTTAATGTTTTATACTGTTTTATGTATGGGCTTGTGCCCCTGTGTAAGCCACCCTGAGCCTGTTTGCGGGGAGGGTGGGGTAAAAATGCAATAAATAAAATAAATATAATAGTGTGTGTATGAAAGGAGGATGGGGGGGCTTGCCCTCTCTCTAACAAATGTTAAACAGTGTTTTAGAGCTAAACTAGATGTTATGACAGCCACAAGTTTGACCCATGGCCACCACCACAATTTTAGGAAAGGATTTGCCCATTTAAAAATGCCTTGAGGACCTAATCCTGATTGGGTCCATGGCATGGGAAGAACAGGCAATCTTGCTTCCCCGCACCATTTTTAAATGGACACATTCTTCCCTAAAATGGCAGTGGCAGCCACAAGTTGAATCCAGAGCCACCATAACATTTTATTTAGCCCTTAGTTTTGCCCAGAGCAGTAAATGGCAACCACTGGGACACCATTGGACTGATGACTCAACTTACCTTTGTGAGCCCAGGTCTGAGGTAAGAAGCAGGTTTTGCCTCCCTTTCAATGGTTCCCTAGATAGCAGCCCATTTAATTTGTCCTGTAGAATGCAATAGGAAACATGGAGAACCAAGTCTAAGATTATTTACACAGTTCTTTTTACCTGCATATAAGGGATCCAGTGAAGAGTGAGTGATGCTGGTTTTGGTGCTATAGTCTGTGGGGAAACTGTACACTTCCTCCTTGGTAAACTGCTGTGCTCCAAACTGAGAGAAAGCACCTGAACAATAAACGACAGGTAATTTTAAAAAAAACTTGGAAGTCCATTTCTCATTTCATTTGAGATTATTAAGCAATGGACACTGGAAAAAATGTTTGTGAGAAATAAGCAAGAAAAGAACACCACTGACAGTGAACAAAACCCTCCAAAGTTTCAGCATAATATAATTATTTCTTTGTATTACAGAAAGTGTCCTATGTACTAGCCTGCAGATATATTTCTTCCAAATTTCAGTTATATACCAGCAAATTCTATGGCTTGAATGAATCATTTCAGTATTTTAAAACAAGATATTTTAAACAAAATGGACTATCATTTAACCTTCTTTGTAGAAAGATCCCTTGTAGAGACTTTGCACTACATCATATCTCACTCATAATAAAGTAAAAACAATGATGTGCTCACCACCACTGTACTCATTTGCACCCCCTCCCCAATTAAAAAGATTCTGGCTATGGGCCTGTCTGGGAGACAAACAATCCACTAATAAGGGATATTCCTGGCTTTTAGAGACAGGACTATGCTTGGAGTATTCATGCGCACCCATCTGCCTTTGGATTCAGACCTCTCAACCACTCTGAAAGGTTACAACTGTCATTAGCACAAAACAGGCAAAGGTCAAGCTATGTATAAGCCAAGGCATTGCAATGAGGCACAATAAATCTAATTTTTCAATCCTAAAAATGCAGCATGTGTTTCCATAAAGTAGATTAAATGCCAATAACTATACCGTCCAAATGAAAAACAAAACACTGCTTCGAAGCTAGGGTAGCCAACTTCAAGATGGAAAATTAATGGCAATTTTAGGGTGGACCTCAGCAGGGTATAATGCCATAAAACCCACCCTCCAAAGCAGCCATTTTCTCCAGAGGAACTGATTTTTGCAGTCTGGAGATCAGTTGTAATTCTGGGAGATCTCCTGGCCCAAGCTGGGGGTTGGCAACGCTACTCTAATTTCCTGTATGTATCACATACCCTCAAGAACTGGCAATAGCTTAAATTTTCAAGAGAAATAACATTGCCTATGAACTGTGACCTTGAATCTGTAAACCCTTTCTCTCCTATAAGCTACTCTGGGATCACCATCAGAACATTTACTGTTGTGATCTCCTAGTCTACCCAAGGATGTTGCCTTTCTCCCATCTTCTTCCAGACAACTGCAGTCTCCTCACACACACATGGCATAATGAACAACAATTATAACTACTGTGGTGAAAAACTGTACCTCCATCTTGAGATTCAATGGTAATAATGCCTTCTCTTTCAGGCCCGAAGCCTTGTGTGGTTTTGGCTTGCACTTTGAACTTATATGGAATATTTTCATTCAAGTAAGGGACTGTCAAAGTAGTCTCTGGGCTGTCTCCCTCCACATAGATATTCCTGGGTTCCCCTAAAGGAACAAAAACATTTTAAAACAGTAGAATCTGGAGAAGAAGAAATAAAAGATCTCAGAGCTTCCTTTCATTACCAGACAATGAAATTCATAGGGGCTCCAGTGAAACAGGACTTTGATGATCAGGGCCCCCACAAAATTATGCTTTTCACTGGAAGTTCAGAGAGGCCCAGTGGCAGTCCAGGCTGCAATCTACATTACCATGAAGGGAAAAAAATTGAAGATGCACTGTAAATAATGCCTGAGGATATTTATAGAAACTTATTTCCTTGTAACTTTTCTGGAGCCAGAACAGAGATTTTCTGGTGCCAATCTAGGGTTGCCAAGACAAGCCTGGCAACCAGCTGGAGAGTTGGATATGAGGACATGGGGAGCACAAAATCAGCTGCATTTTTATGTTGCTTTTTGGGAAAACGCAAAAGTGACATAGGGTAGCCCTATGAATCACCAGAAACTCTATGGTAAAACCACAGAGTTTCCAGTGATTCCTAGAGGTACCCTACATCACTTCTGGGTTTTGTCTGGAAGTGATGTAGAAATGCAGCCAATGTCACCTTTAAAAAAATGTTCTTCCACCATTCAGAGCAGAATGCCTGGCAGCCTTAGAACAGCAGTCTCAAACAACATTCTGAACTGCTGGGCCTCCTGATCCAGTCTAAGGTCCTTCTCGAAAACAGACACTAGGACTGCGTCAAGTGAGATTCATTTGGGTAGCCGTGTTGGTCTGAAGCAAAAGAACAAAGTTTGCGTCCAGTGGCACCTTTGAGACCAACAAAGTTTAATTCTGGGCATAATGCACACAAAAGCTTATACCTGGAATTAAACTTTGCTGGTCGTAAAGGTGCCACTGGACCCAAACTTTGTTTTGTGTCAGTGAGACTGAGAGACAAGGAGATTTGTTTTCCTCTGTTAGAATAAAACCATCAAGACCCTGACATGAGAATCCCTTTTAATGACACAAAATAGTTAAGAAACTTGTAGGACTCTTAGGCTGGATGTTGCTAGGCATTTTTCAGAAATGTAGAATATGGAATAGTAATTTCAGAATTAAAACAAACATTTTTCATGGATTACGAGACTGCATTATGAGATGAGGAATTGTGCTGTGGGGAGGTGTTACAAGTTTGTACTGGGCACCGTTGATAAGGCACATACAGCATTTAGCACACACAGGGACTGCCCTGTTCTGCTATATAGCCCAGGAAATACTCTCTGGGAACACTAGAGGTTTCACATTTGAACTAGAATTCAGTTCAGAGCTTCCACATACCTCCACCATGTAGCATCTCACAAGTGACCATGTAGCCCAGAATAAACCCATTGGGTTGGCGGGGTCTTTCCCAACTCAGTTGAAGAGAATCTGGACTCAGAGCTGTGAACACCAGAGGCCCTGGTGCGCTAGGTGTGCTCAAGGTAAATGGAGAACCTGTATGAGCAAAAACAAAAGATCAGTATTCTCAAGAAGAAACCAGCAAAAACTGAACTGAAATGCTGTACAGGATTTTACATAAAAACATTTTCTTGAATAATGAATATAAGAGTAAAACGTAAAATTAAAAATATTCAATATGCAAAACCTGCCTATCTTTCTGATATGGAATCAATGCCAAAATTGGGAATTTATTTTATTGAAATATAATGTTACATAATTTTTTTTTACATTTTTCCAAATTTAGCATTGTCATATTTGGGTAAAAACCAGCCAAACTCTAGTGATAAAACATTGGTTTCAAAACGGACTCTCTCTCAAAAAAAATAATAATCTGAAATATTAATCAAATTTGCATTCTGTAGTTATTTTTGGCAGGGGTGAAAAAATTTCACCACTATCTGTACGGGCGCCCCTTCACGGTCCTCACAGACCACAAGCCGCTGCTGGGCCTCCTGGCCCCTGACGGCCAGACCCCACAGATGATTTCGCCCTGGGTGTTCCGCTGGTCTATTTTCCTGGTGGGGTACTCCTATGCTCTCGTCCATCGCCCTGGCAAGGCGATGGGCCATGCAGACACCCTGAGCCACCTGCCGCTGCCGGTCTGTGACCCGGATCCTGCTCCCGCCCACCAGATCGCTCTCCTGGAGTCCCTTCCGGATCGGCCAGTCCATGTCGCGGAGGTGGCTCGTGGCACCTCCAAGGACAAGGTACTTTGCCGGGTCTTGGACTGGGTGGTGAGGGGGTGGCCCGCGGCCAAAGGAGACCCTGACGTAACGCCCTTTGCTTCTTGGAAGGACGAGCTGTCCGTCCACAGGGGCTGTGTCATGTGGGGAAGTAGGGTGGTCATTCCAAAGCCCCTACGGGAGCGGGTCCTCACCGCCCTTCACGAAGCGCGCCCCGGGGTGGTGTGCATGAAAGCCTTGGCCCGGAGCTATGTCTGGTGGCCGGGGATGGACTGGGACATAGAGGACGTGGTGAAGCAGTGCCAACCTTGCCAAGCATTCCGGCCCGAGCCTCCCCGAGCCCCAGAACGGGGCTGGGAATCTTCCCACCACCCCTGGCCCCGGTTACACTTGGACTTTGCGGGACCTTTCCAGGGGCCACTTTTTTTTATCCTGGTGGATTCCTTCAGCAAGTGGCTGGAGGTAGTTCCTGTGCCCTCCACTTCCTCGAAGGCGGCCATCTGGGTGATGTGGCAGATCTTCAGTGCCCAAGGAATTCCAGACACGCTGGTCACAGACAACAGGACGGCATTCACGTCCGCGGAGTTCCAGGAATTCACAAGTTACTATGGTATCCGCCACATCCAGGTGGCCCAGTTCCACCCCTCCACCAACGGCCAGGCTGAGCGCATGGCCAGAACCATGAAGGACGCTCTCCGCCCCTTGGACTCCCCGGACTGGGACTATAAACTGACGGCTTTCCTTTTCGGCCAGCAAACGACTCCCCACACCAGGCCCGTAGCCTGCGTGGGGCCCACGGGGCCCGGCCTCCCCGCTTGGTTTGCGGGCCCCTCCCTCCCGATCCTCGGCGTTTTGCAGGAGGAGGAGGCCGGCGGCCCCTCGGTCTCCGCTTGCGCCGCCTGGCCGCGCACTGCCAGTAGAGCTTCAGGCGGCTTCCCCGGGGATGAGAGGGGCTCTCCCTGATGGAGGGAATGCGCCGCTCTCGCCGGGCAGAAAGGCAACCTGGCAACGGCGCTACTGCTTTCCCCGCCAGTCTCTGCCGCCAGCAAAGGCTCCGCGGGCCGCGGGCGACGCTGTGCCCCATGGGGAGATTTCGCAGGGAGCGGAGCCGAGAGTCACCTGCGGAGTTTGGGGCCTCTTCTGTGGCTGTTCAAAAGACAAAAGACTCGGGAAGAGCTGCAGGTGCTGCTGTTGACTTCTCCCGCCCGCCTTTTCTGACAGGAAGAGGAGGGGGTGACCCAGCAGGCGAGCGAGCGGGTGATGTGTATATGTGTGTGTGTTCCAGCTGATGTGTGTGCGGCGTGCGTGCGCTTCACACACGCGCGCGCACACACACTTTACCCCCCCACCTTTCCCCAGGGCCCCCAAACAAGGAAGGGGTTAGCTACAGCCCTGCCCCACACCAATATGGGGCACAATCTGGCAGAGCTACTTCTAGGTCGCCGCCTGGCAACCCAGTTGGATCACCTGCACCCCGACCGGGCCTCGGCAGAGGCACCAGGCACGGAGACGCATGAGGCAGCCAGGGGTTTCTTCCCGGAGGATCCTATGTATGCACGGAACTACACCCAGGGGCCAGCCTGGATCCCGGCACGAGTCATACGAGTTAAGGGCCTAAGATCGTATGAGGTCTCATGTGAAGATGGGCAGATTCTACACTGGCACATCGACCAGCTACGCCGCTGGACGATGCCATTGGACCCCGAGGACTGGGACATGGCCGAGGCCCCGGAGACCTCACCCCGGACCCAACCACTGGCGGCCAAGCCCCGGCCTCTTCCCTTGGTCAAACCCAAGTCACCTCTTCCAGAGACGCCGGGAACACCGCCCCCAGTGCCTCTTCCGGCCAGCTCGCCTCCGAGGGCTTCAGGGGTGGAGGCCGCAGCAGTTCCCGAGTTTTGCCGCTGTACCTGCACCAGAAAGTTACCTGCCCACCTGAAGGACTTTGTCTGTGGGTGCATTGTGGACCAAGGGGGGAGGGGTGTAATGTATACAGTCAAGACAGCGTGGCCGGCTTGGGCTCCACGCGGTCAGGCACAAACGTCGAGCTTCGTTCCAAGAGACAATGGACTATGTGGATCCTAGCCCGCTCCAATCAGGGGTCTAGGTTCCCGGCCGAGAGCATATGGGACTCTCAGCCACTGTAAATAACCTATTGGGAAATGGGGGGGGGTATTTTGGGTGGTGGTTTCTCGGGGAATATAAGCTGGCCTGTGAGCCGGCCAAAGTCGTCTTGTTCCTGATCGAATAAAGTATGCTTTGCTGAAATCACTCTCCATCTGCGTACTTTTCAGGACTGCAGGCCTGATCCTATGCTTCGCAATTGCTGAGATTGTAAACGATGCTAAGTAGAGGCCTTCATCTGGATGGAAGTTTGCGCCACCTGACAGAGCTCTTAAACAGTATTAGGAAGATAAAGCTACCTTTTTTGTTTTATTTGCTCTTGGACCTTTGGCAGTCTGTTGGCTGTACTTTCATTAAATTGTCTATCTTTATAATAAATTACATAAATACGTTTTTAAAATAACATAATTCTGGTTACTTGTGTGCAACTACCGTGGAAGCCCACGGGGTCAGCCAATTGACTCCTTGACACCTACTTTGATGCACACCCCTCTCCCCTCAGACAGCACAGCATGAAATCAGAGTCAAAGAACTAAAAAGCCTGAGGAGACAATCATACCAGAAGTGCATAAAGCTGAGTAAACTTTTTGTGTATCATTACATAGTGAAAGCCACATTACCTGGCACAGGACTCAGAGGGCTGCGTGGATCCACTTGGGACTCAATAGTGATCACTCCCTCTCTCTCTGGACCCCAGCCTTCATCACTTTGGGCCTTCACTTTGAAGACATAGGAGTGGTTTGGCAGCAGATCATCCACCACCACCGAGTTCTGGGTAGGGTTGGGAATAGTAAGCCTGTGCACTTCTCCTAGAGGGCAGGGAAAGATCGAGCAGTCATCTTTACAAGTCACTGTTGTCAAGGCTACAGCTTCCGCTGATATTGCCGTGAGCTGAGTTATCGCCTAACAATGGGGGAGAAGGTGAATTCATCTTACCCATTAGATGAATGATCTTCAGAGCAGAAAAATGTAGAAAACTATATGAATCCCACGTGCCATGTGGAGAAAAAACCCTTCAGACTGAAGTAATTTTGCTTATTACTAAGTAATCTTAGCAACTAAGGTTGTGTTGTATGCATTTTGATCCAGATGCATTTAATTAGAGTCAGAATGCATGTAGTCTTTGCTATTCTTGTCAAAGAAGCACCTTCTAATAATTAATTGGGTGATCTGTTATAAAGCACTTTTTGGATGGAATAGGGGACGACTATAATCAACCATGCTCTAATGGAGCACCCAGCCCTTAACTTTTTAATAATTAGCAGCAGGGATCGTTTCGTAGAAAAAGAGCTAAGGGAACTCATTAGCATAACTATTAGCATATGCCACACCCCCTGACATCACCGGAAGTGTGTCATAAGGCCACACCCCCTGACATCACCGGAAGTGTGTCATAAGGCCACACACCCTGCCCCCAACGGTCCCGGCCGCCGCCGGCCTTGCAGCTCCACTGCCAAGCCCTATGAGGGGCCCGGTGGTGGACCTGCAAGGCCGGCGGGAGTGCAAGGAAGCCCCGCGAAGGCCCTCCCTGGCCCCAGGCAGGCAGGGGTGGGGAGAGGCAGGGAGGAAGCAACTTACCCTCCCTCTTCTCCTGCCTCCTCCTGGCTGAATGAGGGCCGGAAGCGGGGCGGCCGGAAGCAGGGGGCGGGGCTTCGTCATGTGCCCCACCCCCGTACATCACCCGGGGGAACTGCGATCCCCCGCGATCCCCCCCAAAATGACCTCTGATTAGCAGTATCTACAGTTTTCCCCGTCCTCATATTTTGCCATGTTGATGCGCTGTGAGACTTGTTGTCCTATCTACATTCTGTCTACACAGCAATTATTTCTGTGATGGTAACCTAGCCTTGAATTAGGTGCTTGAAGGCATTCACACCAATGGAAAAGGAATGTAGATGATTCCCAGCCTCCATGCTCTTGGAATTCTCACATTCATCTTCTGCACAGAACATTCCTTTCCTTATTTCCCATCAGGAATTCATACGAGTGTCACAAAAGCAGAGGTTGAAGACGTTCTCTCTGACAGTATTTAACATCTCACTCTCACTCATTGGACATAACAATGAGTCCAGTGGCACCTTTAAGACCAACAAAGGTTTATTCAAGGTATGAGCTTTCGTGTGCATGCACACTTTTTCAAATACATTGGAATGGAAGGTAAGCGTTCAAACTTATAGAAAGAGGCTGAACAGCTAATTAACATGTAACATGATGAAGATGTTTTAAGATATGCAAAGAGAAAACTAAATAATAAGTTAAGGTTATAAGGTCAATAGTAGTTTTGATTTAATTAAGGGGGGAAGAACAGTTAAGTAATAAATATGTCAAGATAGGGAATAAATGTGTAAAGGTATCTTTACAACGAGCGAGGTAACGAACATGAAATTAAGCAAACTCCGGAGGACGGCGGAAGACAGAAGGGCCTGGCGTGATGTGGTCCATGGGGTCGCGAAGAGTCGGATTCGACTGTGCGACTGAACAACAAAAATATTTTCTAATTGTGGGAAGTAAACTGATAAGAAATTAGAAAAGATATCTTTACACATTTATCCCCTGTCTTGACATATGTATTACTTTACTGTTCTTCCCCCTTTAATTAAATCAAAACAACTGTTGACTTTATAACCTTAGCTTATTTTTTAGTTTTGCCTTTGTATGTCTTAAAACATCTTCATCATGTTACTTGTTAGTTAGCTGTTCAGCCTCTTTCTATGAACTCTTACCTTCCATTCCATTGTACTTGAAAAAGTGTGCATGCACACGAAAGCTCATACCTTGAATAAACCTTTGTTGGTCTTAAAGGTGCCACTGGAATCTACATTTGTTATACTGCTTCAGACCAACAAGGCTGACCACCTGGAACTATCTTCATTATACATAACACTTCCTTCTATTTCTCTTCAAGGCTCTTCTTTCATGTCGTAACATCAGTGCTGCCACTATAAAAACAAGAAGCAGCTGCTGGCTAGTTCATAAGTGATTATGTTTTTAAAAGCAGGAAGAGTGCAAACTGATGCACTCATCCCTCTGGAATGTTTTGAATGTCCAAAGTTAGACATTTCCTCACCGTGGTGAGATGTGCGTGCTGTCTCCTTAGAGTATATGCATACAAGAGTGGAACAGAAGCACCTAGGCTTAGCGTCAGGTGTTCAAAACATGATGGTCCTTTTCACTTTCTTCGTTTCTGCTTGGTTCAAACATCTACTCTATGACTGGTGACTATCCTATAAGTTATAAGGTGAAAGGGGTGGGGTATAAATTTGATAAATAAATAAACAAATAACATTTGTGCTGGTGAAACATGAGTGGTTTTCTTCATCTGAGGAAATGAATAAACATGTTCCCCTCTGTACACTTAACTATTCTTTGAATAACATTCAGACTACCTTTAATACCTCTATGCTTCTAATGAAAGGTGTGGGCCTCTCACAGAAATGGATACCCTCAACTAGGGCTCCCAACTCCCCCGGTAGGGCGGAAATCCCCCGCCCCGGAGGCTCCGTTCCCCGACACCGGGGAATCGGGGCCCGGGGGAAACCCCTCCCCGGCGTGCGCGTCACCGGAAGTGACGTCGCATGCTGGGGGCGGGGCCACGCCATTTGAGGGGAAAACAAAGAGTTTCCCCCTCAAATGGCGTGGCCCCACCCAGCGTGTGACGTCACTTCCGGTGACGCTCCGGCGGCACATGCGCGCTTTGCGCACGCATTCCCGACCGGCTCCCGGAGCAGCAGGACGCTCCCCAGCCGGTAGGATTTTTAAATTTGGCAACCCTACCCTCAACTCTCCCTTACAATGACAGCAGTGCGATCTTTACTGACCTCCATTGAGAAGCTGGTACTGGACGCTGTATCCTTGCACCTCTTTGTCACAGTGTGGCTCCTGCCAGCTGACCTTCAGTGAGGTTGGCCCCAGGGCAGAGAACACTAAGCGGGTGGGAGTGTCAGGGACACCCAGATGAGTCCTGGAATCTGGGCCAGAGACAAGTAGTTGTTAGCTTTGGTCTGAAGGCAGGGAAAGTACCAAGAAGCAACTTGCACATGCTCATGAATGCTCTTTCTGTGTCCAGGGAGAACATGGAGAATGTCCCTTTGCAAAGTAAATAGCTAGTCTACACATACAGGGATGGCTACAGATAATGAAGTGAGCAGCCACAGAAAACAGCCACGCCCTCCAGTAACAGCAGCAGCCTGAATACTGCCTGGCTTCAGAGAAGCAACTTCCTGATTGCAGTAGACAAAGAGGAGGAGAATTTGGCTTTGCCAAGCAAACTCCTTATTTCTCCTGTCCCCAGATCCTGGATTCCCAGGGCACACCAAAGCCCCATGCAGACTGAGGCCAGGTTAAGCTCACTCACCCAGAAGCACTGTGTCCAGGCTGCTCAGTGCTTCGAACACTTCTTCAGAGTGAGTGCAGCCCCTGGCTTTCTGTGGGAGAGCATAATGTTTCCTGGATTGTGTGGCTTGCCCTGAAACGCCTGCACAGAGAAACAGAGTGGTACTGGGATCAAGGTCAGTGGTGAGAACACAAAGGTTTGGGTACGCGGGGGGGGGGGGGGAGCCCTGCTTATTCACTACCAACTTACCAAGAACTCCCTGGCATATTTTATTTATATAAGTTAAAAAACTCTCACCTACAGCGGAACATTCCTGGGAACAGCAAAGCAACTAACAGCAGCTTTCAAGGATCATCCTCAGTTTACGGTTGCTTTGGTTTCTGTAATGTATCCATCTCCGACCGCATGCGAGGCTAGGTCGCCACGCGGTCATGCGAAGCGGCCGAGCTTCGCTCTCAGGAACAATGGGCCAAGCGGACCCTAGCCCACACCAATAGGAGGGCTAGGCTCCTGGCCGAGAGCCCATGGAACTCTCGGCCACTATAAGGACCAATCACTTGTGTGTGGGTGTGTTTTTGGGTGTGGGATGGTTGCACATATAAACCGGCCTGCGAGCCGGTCCTAGTTGTCTTGTTCCGAACGAAATAAAAGCATGAGAGCTGAAATCACTAGTAAGTCTCAGTACTTTTCAGTTTCAAAGACTCAGCTCAGACTGTGCTCTTCCCAAAAAGATCAAGTCGAAGTAGCTTTGGGAAAAGGCACACTGAGGACAGGGAAAGGAGGACTGGAGCACGATGTCATGTGGATACTCTAAAAAAAAATACCCCACTCCAGTTTGAAGACCAAAGCAGAGCAAAACCTGTAAGTAGAAGCCACCTGTTTTCTGGGGAAAGGGACAGCTATGTAAGGCCTGCCCTGCCCCATTCTTTCAGGTAACCTTTTAAAAAGGTAAGCCTGAACTGGCCCAAAGGCACAAGCCTTTGCCTCTTAGCCCATGGCCCTCCCACCTGTGAGTAGGGTTCCTAAATCCCCCCGGGGGGCAGATTTCCCCCCGCTTTCAAGGCCCAACTTCTGCCCCGCGCGGAATCGGGCCCGGGGGAAACCACACCCCTGCGCGCACGTCACCCGGAAGTGACGTCGCACACTGGGGGCGGGGCCACGCCATTTGAGGGGAAAACTCTTTGTTTTCCCCTCAAATGGCGTGGCCCCGCCCCCAGCACGTGACGTCACTTCCGGGTGGTGCGCAAGAGTTAGACGCCGGCCGGGAGCCCCCCGCTCATGGCCAAAAGTCATTTGGCAACCGTACCTGTGAGGTACTGGGAGAGAAAACATCGGAAAAGATGCACAGCTGAGGCACTAACCATCTGGGAAGGGAACTTCTGACTGGCCCTCTGGGGCTGTAGTGCAGTGCTTGAGTAACATCTGTGGAGCATGCAGCACGGTAGAAGTGCTCTGCACCATTCTGGCTCAGAGGAGTGCAGTTCACTGTAGTCACTTGTCTCTTTGTTTCCTTAAACTGTATTTTAGATTTTTAAATTGTATTTTACTGTTTTTGTAAACTGCTTTGGATCACTGTTGGGGAGAAAAGTAAGGGGAAACTGGCTAAAATGACTTAAATCATGTGATTTTAATTAACAATTTATGTAAACCACCTATGTAACCTGTTGTGGTCCAAGAACCCAGACCAGTAGCACAGAAACAGCTAATAGATGGGAAGAGAGAGCCTTGCTCCAGAAAGATCTGCTTGTAAGCGCCTTAAAACAGAGTAATGTATGCATCCTTTTCCTTTTAATTGGGAACAGAAGGGTCACCAGCTTTTCTGCATGTGCATGAAGGAGTTGATCTGTTTTGTCCATATGGGTACCACAGTTTCCAGCATAATGTTGCCAAATATCACAAGCGACCCTTCCTCCCTCTTGCAGCAGTGGCGAAGCTGGTCAGATCCAACTTGAAAGCAGTATCTAATTTGGTGTATATAGCTTTGCATAGTTGATTTTTAAAGGACAAAATAAATTGGGGGAGGGGATCCATTCCACCTATTATAAATACTTCTGGCCATGATGGAATGAAGGGATCAAGAAAGCTTTTATCTGCAATGATTGGTGTTAAAGGTATGACCCAATATAGGTTGCCCACGACAATCTTAACAGCACCCTCAAAATGCTACTTGAGTGCTGACTATTTGCAGTGGAAGGAAGACATTTATATGTCCTGAAACACAACAGTTTAATTTGCGTAATCATCTCCCAAGTAAGCGTCTACCTTTTTCCATACCATTAAACTGTATCATCTTCTTAAAGGGTAGCTGCCAAAGCAGGGGGGAAATTCTGAGCATTAAAGATAACTATGATCATTAAAGTCACTAATGGTAAGAACAGTTTCTTAACAAACTTTTGTTAATGTAAATCAGTTTCAAGAGGGACATTTTGCAATGTTCTCCCTGCCACCTCTCAATGAAAGGCTGGTGGAGACACAAACATAAAACAATTTGCTTGAGGATGAAGCATGGAGGATGCTGAGAAGATCTCATGAAGCCAGAGAATTAATCAGCCTGGGTAGCTGCTGTTGAGAGCAAAAGGACAAAGCAGGATGGGTTGGAGGGAGAGTTAGACATGCATTGGCATGCGCATGTAGAGACAGACACGTGTATATAAAGCTGGTGAAGGACTGAGGGGCTCCATGTCATGGAGAGGTTGGCTAGTTAAGAGATTACACTGTAGCTGGGGCATGCATTGAGGAGATCAGTTAGCAATGCTTTGCCATTTGCTGTACCTAGGTACTTAGAAATCCAAGAGGGCCCATCATTCAGGACTATAGAATCTTGAGCATCACTGTTGTCATGGTAACCCTTCATGCTTGCCCTGCTCCTGAAACCCACATCCTGTGGCTTCAGGACCATCCTCCCAGCATCTTCATGTATGGGAGGGAATATCCTCCTTGAATGGTCTGCACAGGATAGGGCAAAACAGAGACAGAAAGAGGCACCATTGAAGACACCAGAAGAGACTGTAGCACCAATGCCAGATGCAGCACCACACACAGAGAGCAGTCTACAGAAAAACCTTGGATTGGCTCCTGGACACTTAAAGACAGAAGGCAGTCATGCAAGTTCAAGAGAAGTCATAGAAGTCAACTCCATGGACAGTAGAAACGTTGGGAAATTGGTAAAAAGAGAAACCCCTTTCTTCGTCTAAGAAATAACATGAAAAAGGAACAAAGAGAATCTTCTCTCCATGGTACCCAGGGGATGAAAGTAACTTAAATTTCTATGAATACTTTGTACCTCAACAGGCTTCAAGAGGAAGTTGGGAGGTACTTTGGTCACATCCTTATTAACAATCCATACTGGCTCACCTACATCCTTGGTGGCACCTGAATTTCAGGGCACACCCTGAAACACCTTACCCAAACAGGTGAGTGAGAGGGATAATTTCTAGTGTATTTTTACGCACAGTGATGGTCTAGTAACAACCAGCCCTGATACGGGCCAAACTCCAGTGAGAAATCGCACAAAATGTTTTCTTACTAACCAATAGGGAGCTGATAAACAGAAGCAAATGGCTGTTTTACAGCTGACATGTGTAGCAAATTGGACCCTCACCAAATAATCAACTTCTTAATGTCAGTTATGAGACCACATTTCAATAACAAAGGAAAAAATAGTTCCATTTCCGGAACAGAGACAAAATTCCACTATGTACGTGACACAGAATACACAGTTACAAGCATTGCCAATGGTTACACAAGAGAAACATGTAGAACTTCTTCTAGTTGGTAAGCAAAAGAATCGGCTGTATCCAGGAAAGAGATCTTGGGGTAGTGGTAGACAGCTCAACGAAAAAATATGGACTCAAAGTGCTGGGATGGTAGACAAGGCAAATTCCATTTAGGGTTTCCTGAGAGATCCCCCCCCCCCCAAGAAAATCATTATCATTATCATAGTGCCTTTGTAAGCTTAACATATTTAAAGTTAATTAATAAAGTTATTTAAAAGAAAGTAGCGAAATCAATGGAGGGTAGGTCTATCCAATACCCATTAGCCCTGATATGAGTTACTGGGGGAGTGAACAGCCATGGGAGGACTGTTGCTTTCAAGCTCTGTGTGAAGAGCTCTCTGGGACCATCTGGCTCACCACTGCTTGGAACAAAAATGTAGACAATAGGGATCCTTAGTCTGATCTAGCATGGCTTTCTTATGTAGCTATTAGCTGCAACTTGACCAAAGTTATGTTCTGAAACCACTGCAAATGTGGAACAGCAGCAGAGAGGGAGAATTTGCTTTGGAATTAAGGATTCCAAAGAACAACACACAAATAACCTTCTTGCTAAAGTAATAAGGATCAGCTTCAGCCAAACACTCACCTTGCCCAGACAACACATTGGTGTACTCCCTGGTCAGAGAGGAGGTTCCCATTATCCTTCTCTCCTTGTGGATGTGTGGACTTAAATGATTGTAGCTGGAAGCACCAGTCTGAGTCAAGCTTCCACCGGTGAAGGTGAAATCCATCCGACCATTCATCATGTGTTCTGGAAAAGGTTCATTTCATTAAGGTTAACAGCATTAGATACTAATTCATCTGAGTTGAGACACTTCATCAGATTGATTTCAAAATTTTCCAGTGCTTGAACTTTATCTTGTTCTCTATACATTTTGGAGATTCAGAACTATTGTTTGTCCCATGGGGAGCAGAAAACTGGTTATCCCCTTGCACTGAATGCCTAAGGTAATGGGAAGTGCGGCAAGGCTCAGGCATATCAAGAACCAAATGGCCTGATCCACAAAAAAGATAAAAAAGAGAGAGACACTCAGATAAGGCGGTGCCTTCATATGTTCTACCACTGAACTGGTTTTATGTGAAAATCCTGGAAAGGAAACACCATTAGGACAATTTAACAAATGCAGTTTAAATAACCATCCATTCCAGACATTAAGACTTGGTTCCAGAGTCTTAATGGAGCAGGAGACATTATCATATCCGCAGATTATGCACATTATGAAACTTCTCAGACAAATTCATATAAAAAGTCTACCAATAGCTAGTATGTATAACAGTTAAATGGAGCTTCCATATACAGAGCACTGTATCTCTGGAAAGCCAACGTCGGGGGGGAATGGGGATGGCCATCACATTCACATGCATTTTGTGAACTTCACAGTGGTGCTACTGGAAGCAGAAAGCAGGGTTATATTAATCTTGGTCTGGTCAAGGAAGGCATTCTTACATTTTTAGGACTCTCTACCATTGCTAATGCTGATTTCCAATATATATTTCACTGGATGGCTATAGAGAATGCTCTTTCCATCTACGTTTTAAACTTTATTTGCTTTTTCTTTGCTCTAAACTGAACCACGTCTTTTGCAGATGCAGCCTTTTAGCAGTTTCCTGATCCATGCCTGAAGGTTGATGGTGCTTCATTAGATGTACAAAAACAGATCACAACAACATATTGCAAACAGACTCCACCAGATGGCCAAATATCTCATGCCAACATCAGTCTACACCTATGGGGAATGCTAAATGGGCTAAAACCTGATTGCAGGTCCTTGGAGGAGGAGGACGAGAGGCATGACAGTTACTGGGGAGGCAGTCGTCCTTCACCTTTTGGGGGCTGGGGAGTCACACTTCTTGGAAGACTGCTGCTGGCTGCGTCACTGTCCACTAGCTCAGAGTGGGGGCTACCCTCATGGAGGACACCCTCTGTATCCGAGGAAAAGTAGCTGCTGTCCGAGTGACGAGGAATCAATTCTGCTGGGAGCCTCCAGGCGACGTGACGAAGGTCCAGCTCCTCCCCCAGTAGATGCACATGTTTCCATCGAGAGCCTTTTGGAACAAGTGAAGCACTTGTGTTGGCACAGTGTGAAGGGTGGTGAGGGTATAAGGGGCACAAAGTAGGCAATCCACCACCTGCAAGCTGGCTGCAGACCTTTAGACTCAGACATTGCCTGGCACTTTGGAGGTAACAGAAATTAGCAACAGCACTCATCTCCTCCATGGAAGTGGCCTGTTCCTGGCCAATGCAACAAAGCAAAGCAAACTGGGAATAGGAATTAATTACTCAAGCGTTTCCATTGGCACCAAGCACCCTATCAAACCTTAGTTGCTTGCTACCATGTGTTGATTTATTGCTTTGCCGCAGGCATTTTATCCATGTTTTCTCATCAGAAGCAAGTCCCACCAAGTTCAATGGAACTTACTCCCAAGCACGTGTGCATAGAGTTTCAACCTGAGGATGCCAACTGTGAGTAGTCACTCCTGTAGAAAGATTTACCCATCTATATATATATAAAAAAGTCCCATCACTGTAAAATCAACGCCCAGGCCAAAACCCTGGACCTAGAAACACGATATTCGGGGAGAGCACTCCTACCATGACGTAGATGCTCACTAAGAAGGGATTTTTAGAAATTCGACCCCTAAGTGGGTCAAAAGGGGTAAAATGTGCTCCCCCATTGATTCCTATGTCGCAGCCAGGCTGCTGCCTCCTTGCACCCTCCACTCTCTGATTGGTCAGCTGCATAGTTCAAAGAAGAAGCAGTTACAGAGAGCTCGAGACAGTTGAAGAAATCAGGAGTGGCCAGCCACCTGTGAGGTACAGCAAAGCTGCTGGCCCAGCCTCTCCATGGCTTCAAACATTCTCCCCTTCATACACCTTACAGGCAATTGCAGGGTGCTTAAAGCCATCAGGGAGCTGGCCCAGCCTCCAAAATGGCTTGCAATACCCCTCCCCCTCCTACACTGGACAGGCAGCTACCTGTCAGGTGTAGGAGAGGGGGTGGGATACTTACAGCCATCAGAGAGGCTTGCTCAGCAGGATCACCTTAGCGTGGCTGCTGGCCCAGCCTCACCGATGCCTTTAAACACACTCCCCCCAACACCAGACAGGCGGGTGTCTGTCAGGTGTAGGAGCAGGGCCAGGGTACTTTAATCCATCAGGGAGGCTGCCCAAGCAAAAACACCTTAGCAATGCTGCTGAGCCAGCCTCCCCAGTGGCTTTAGACACACTCCCACACACCCCTCCACCTGACAGGCAGTTGTCTGTCAGGTGCAGGAGCAGGGGCAGAGCATTGAAACCCATTGGAGAGGCTGCCCAAGCAGCTTCTCCTTAGCAATCCTGCTGACCCAGCCTCCCCAATGCCTTCAGACATGCTACCCCTCCTACACCTGACAGACAACTGCCTGTCAAGGATTGGAAGGGGCATGGAGTCCTTAAAGCCATAGGGGAGGCTTGCTTAGCAGGATTTCTTTAATGCTGCTGCTGGCCCAGCCTCCCTGATGCCTTTAAGCACAATCCTCCCCCCCTACACCAGACAGGTGGGTGTTTGTCAGTGTAGGAGCAGGGCCAAGGTACTTTAATCCATCAGGGAGGCTGCCCCAGCAGGATCACCTTAGCGATGCTGCTGGCCCAGCTTAGCCACACTCCCACCCACTATGGAAATATACGCCAAATTTGTAGAAAAGTGGATTTTTGTATTAGGTTATTTTACTTCTCACAATGTGGGTTCTAGAAAATTGGTTCCTACGAACTTGCTCAATATCTGATTGCTCGGATGTTGTTTTGAATACGTAGTTATGTCCTACTTCTTAAATGTAACATAAACGAGAAACATTTTTGTTTTAAAAAGTATGCCCTGCACACACACACACACCCCCAATCCAATGCCCAGGCCAAATCCCTGCACCAAGAAACCCAAAATAAGGGGAGTGCATTCCTACAATGAGATCAACCTCCACTACGAAGAGATTTCTGAGAAACACAACCCCTAAGGGGGTAAAAAAAGGACAAAATGTGTTCTCCAATTGTTTTCCATGTGCCTGGCAGGCTGCTGCCTCCCCTCTCCCCCCCGCACTAGAATATACTTGCACCCACCTTCCTCTGATTGCTCAGCTGTGATCTCAATGTTCTGAGGTAAAAACACAGTTAGAAGACTGCAGACAGTTGAGGACAGTTACAGAAATCAGAAGTTCAAGACTCCTGAATGGATATTTCTCATAACAGCCAGCATGGCAATTGAGTTTATGAATGTTCATGGGGAGATAGTAAAGGACCTTTCTAGGAGCCTGCTCCAGAGTGAGCTCACCAAGCAGCCTAGTGATCCTAGCACCTGAGAGCAGAATCACTGCTGTGGTCTACAGAGGGGTCCTTCGGTGTGTATGTGGGGGAAGTGCGTATGTCTCACTTCATTCTTTACATTACAATCTTCTCCGTTAGAATTCTGTATAGAAATATTATTTGGTATTGTGGTGCGTCCCCCTTAAGTTGCTGAAGCAAAATACCATCTGGGTCTCTTAGGGAGGATATAAGAATTCTTGGCAATTGTTCAAGCAGCAGCTGCAGCCAATTTATGCACCCTGATGGACCAGGTCGGCAGTGGAACTGAGACAACATTTCAGGAGCAAAAAGCAAGTTTTCTTCCGCTGACGTGGCTAACTGATAAAGGACTTTTCCTTCTTTTTATCTGCTGTTTGAAGCCTTGCCAACCTCCTGCTGAGGATAACTCCAACTTTCAGTTCTAGCGGCTTGGGGACTACTGCTTCTGCCACTCAGTACATTGCCTCAGTGTTTTAACTCTTTTTGAATATTATTATCTCTCCTGTTGTGTTTTGCTGTAGAGCTGAGGCTTGCTGAGGTGCAGGGAGATACGGATGTGTTTTTTATCTTTGCTCCTCCTAAATAAAGATATGTTAACTTTTGGAGAAGACGAGTGTGTGGGTCGGTGCAGTCAGTGAGAGCTTCCTTGCATCCCGGGAGGGGAACCCACGGACAGGAGACCTACTCAAGAGGAGAGGATTTTGCTACTGTCTGGAGGTCTGAACAAGCCAGCTCTCGAGGTGAAATGACCGGGAAGGCTGACCCCAGACTCATACAAATTCCTACAACAAATGTTACCTTCACATCAACAGTATTATAACTGGATTTACGGAACTTAAATACCATAGCGAAGCATGGGTATCAGGCTAGTTAGATATAAAGTTGTAACTACTGGCTTTCTGGTCTGTCTGTATTCTAAGCCTTAAGAACTACAGAACTTCAGTCAGTACATTAATCAAACTGGCAGAGGCAAAATACAGGGTAACTGAACTTTATACCAAACCAGAACTTGGGTGTAATTTACTCACAAATCTATATATCTAATTCTGAAGATGCCCCCTGGTGTGCGGATATCTAAATCCGCACAACGGGGGCACCTGGGGGGCGGGGAGATTTTTGTGCACATTTGGGGCAATCCCCAGGTGTGCACAAAAATCTCAAAAGTTGGGGAAAATATCGGGGGGATACTTAAATCCCCCCAAAACTAACAGAGCGTCCCCTGCGTTCTCTCAGAACTCTCTCAGCCCCACCTACCTCACAAGGTGCCTCTTGTGGGGAGAGGAAGGGAATGTGAACCTTCAAGAAAGTGTGGAACAGAAATCTAATTATTATTTTTTTAAATTAAAAGCCACTTTGAGACTCCTTAAGGTAGAGAAAATCAGTGTATAAAAACCTACTCTTTTTCTGATTATACACTTAAGTCAGGAGGAGGACTGCTCCTTGGCTGCAACAGAGGTCATGTGCTTAGTCCTAAACAGGTTCTAAAATGGGATGACTGTCTCCTATTATAAATTTTGCCACATTATTTGAGGTGACAGCTATAAAATAAAAAACTTCAACTGGCATGTATAAACACCAGATGTTCACAAAGAATCAAATGGAAAATCTCCACTGCTGGAATTCTGGTCATTGGACATACTGCTGAAATACAGAACTTTATTACAGCATGGCCACCTGATATGTACTCTGACAACCATCAAGTTCAAGCAAGCATATTAAAAATTATGTGCAAAACTCATAAATAGGCTATAGCTTTCTGGCTCATGTCCTGTTATGGAACATGTTTATGATTCCTGCTATGGTTCTACACACCTACATTTTTGGTGGATTGTGGCCTATGTCAATAATTCTTAATTGGTAGCGCAATCTATTTTTGTACAATTTCCTACATCGCCACATGTGTCTTGCATTTAGAATATTGTATCATTTCTTTTAGTGAGGTTTGGAAGAAAGGTTACATTGCTGAGGCTTGAATCTAAACACTATCACATATTTGAGTTAAAGAAGGCTGTTTCTTCCAGGATACATTGGTTTAAGTAGGGTTGCCAACCCCCTAATGGGGGCGGGGTTCTCCCTGGTTTCAGGGGCTCCAATCCGCTGCTGGCCAGGTGGCCGGCAGGGGAACCCCACCTCCAAGAGTCCCGACGCACCCGATGTTCCTGGTGCAATTACATCACCTGAAGATGACATCATTGCACTGGGCACGTTGTTCAGGGGACACTCTAGCATTCGGGTAAAAACTCTATGGTGATCATAGATCTTTTACGCAAATACTAGAGTCTCAAAGCCAGCCTGGAACCCCCTGCTGGGATGAAGGTAAAACCTGGCAACCATAGGTTCCAGGTAATTCTGACTTTTAGCCTCCTTTAGCAGGAGGCACAGTGCATACCCCTTGAGCATCCCAGGTTTCCTGGCTACACTCCTCAATGTACTGGCAACTTAATCAATATTTCTTTCTGTTAGCAGAACCTTTGTAGATAATGGGTTGGATCCAATGGAGCGTTTCTCCAGGCCGAAGGATTTCTGTCTGAGGAACATGACTTTCTCACTCTTCCTCCCCAACCCTGCTGCAACTCAAAACGTGTTCCCCATGCTGTTCGTGGTGGACATGACATCATATGAAATATGGAGTATGCAAATTACTTCCATTCTGCAGATGCTCCATTGGCTGCCCAGTTACTACTGAGCTCAGTTTAAAGTATTGGCTATCACAGACAAAGACCTTTGTGGCCTTGACCCTCCCTCTTATTTGCAGGACCACCTCTCTCCCTTTGCTCCACCACAACAACTTCACTCATATCAGCAGGGGCTTCTGCAAATGGGCAAAAACTGCCAGTACAGATGCTTCCTCCATTGTGGCTCCCGCCTTGTGGAACAGTTTACCCAAGGAGGTCAGGAAAGCTCCCACTCTCCTGGCTTTCTGCAAACTATGCCAAACTGAACTGTTCAAGAAGGCTTTTCTGCACCGGTAATAGGGTTGCGGAGGAGCTGCGGTGGCTCAAGTGGTTAAGACGCTGAACTGCAGGCTGTGAAGGTCAGTAGTTCAGCAGTTTGAGACCCGAGTTGCCGCATGACGGCGTGAGCTCCCGTCTCTAGTTCCAGCTCCTGCCAAACTAGCAGTTCGAAAGCAAGAAATTGCAAGTAGATAAATAGGTACCACTTCGGTGGGAATGTAACAGCGTTCCATGCGCCTCGGTGTTTAGTCATGCCGGCCACATGACCACGGAAACGTCTTCGGACAACGCTGGCTCTTCGGCTTTGAAACGGAGATGAGCACCGCAACCCTAGAGTCGGACTCGACTGGCTTTCGAGCAAGGGAACCTTTACCTTTACTTTAATAGGGTTGCACTATGCAAAATGGTTTTAGAAATTTGCTTGGATAAATGGTTGAGACTGTGGTCTATACTGCTGTGTATAGCTTGTTGTTAAGTAGGATCCTACTGTGTAATTTTTGTACCCCTTAATATGGAATGTTAATACTACTGATCAATGTTCCCTTTAAGCGGTAGAGTCTTGTGAGCAAAAATTCTACTTTGTGAGCTGCTGGCATTAAAGTTGTGAGCGAGCAATTTGGCTCCTGCATCGATTAGTTTGCTCTGGAGCCATCCTTCCTGAGCTAAGACAAAAATGTGTGAGCCGGAGGCTAAAAACTGTGAGCTAGCTCACACTAACTCAGCTTAGAGGGAACAGTGCTACTGATAGATAGTTGTCTGTCTGTCTATCTGTCTACTACTGCTATGCTTCACTTCTTTCTGGTGGTTCTAGACCTCTAAAATCTTAATGCACTGGTTACTGAATGTCGCATTTTGTCCATTGTACTCACTCACTATGTGTCATCTGCCTTGAGTCTCTGTGAGAAAGGCGAACTATAAATAACATAAATAAATAAATAAATATGAAATGTAAATAGTACGTTTTAGCATACTCAGAACCTCAACCCTAGCTCTTACGTTGGAGCTTCTTATCACCGACAATATAACTCAGTTATTTAAACATAGTCACTGCCATGATGAGACCGTCCTTCATACCTGGAGCCAATTACCTAGAATCAGTCCATGGCACATCTCTAAAGGATATTGAAGAAAGACCCAGGCCACAGACAACTGGTAAAACAAAATGCTTATTGGTTCAAAGGTCTTTGCTTGTTCATATAGCAAGACTATTTATTTGGCCTAATGCTTGGACACTGCAAGATGCTGGGATTCATCAGTATTGTGCCCTTTACTAAACCGCACAGCAGCAGATAGCTCTAGTCACATGATTCATTTGAGTAAGCACAGGGCACCCTGACTTGGATGGCCCAGGCTAGCCCAGTCTCGTTCGATGTAGAAAGCGGCAAGCAGGGTTGGCCCAGGTTAGTACTTGGACGGGAGACCACAAACAAATGCCAGAGTTACTACACAGAGGCAGGCAACGGCAAATCACCTCTGTTAGTTCCTTGCCTTGAAAACCCTACAGGGTCACCATAAGTCAGCTGTGACTTCACAGCGCTTTTCACCAAGTATAGCGCATAGAAACTGCAGCAGCCTGTGTACACAGATTTTAACAGGTCTTCTGAGTGAATGCTGAGTTTACCCTGTTCCTTGGGTAAGAATCCAAATGAATTAGAGGCAAAATGTGTCAGATACTAGAGACACTTTAAAAGTTTTTCTTGGTCTCAAAATAAGGGAAAAAACCCTAGTTCCATTTGCAATGTGGCTAGAAATCTGCTCTTTAAATCCCCACAGATTTGACAGGCTTTTCTGTGCTCACACGGCCAACTTAATTTCTTAAAGAAGTACATCTAAGAAGGTTCAGCCACAAAAGCTTCAAAAAGACCCTCCCCCCTCCATTTTTTCAATCGCAGCAGTGCATTATACCAGAATCGTCAGAGACGCTGGGATGTTTGCTGCCAGCCGGTGAGCGCAGTACTTCTGTGCTGTACATCAGGTAGCTGTCATAGTCCTCTCCCCCTTCAGCATCAATTATTGGCACATCAGGGATGATGGGAACTGGAAGGAGAAAAGAGCACTATTAGGGCCTTGTTGCATGTCAAATGCACTGGAGCCCTAAAGCACATTGTAGTTTTTATATGATATCAGCACAAGCCTTGATCCAGTGCCTCTAGTGATTTTCTACCAAGGGTGCAACTCTTTCATTTTTTAAAATGATTGTTTCAGTCCTGGGGCTAAATGGTAGGAGTGGACATAACTGCTAAGGACATAAAATATGTTTTTAACATTAAAAACAATAAAATTGTTAGAGCATTGCAGGAAACTTGTGAAACTTGTTAGGAATTACATCAAAGATAATAACCAACAGTTGTCTATACCAATAACAATGAATGAATGGGCCAACAGAGGGAAGAATTACATTTTCTCCAGGTACAAAATATAGTGGATCTAGTAAAATATCCAAATTCAAAGGAAGACATCTTGAGTATATGCAACAAATTAATTGCATGTTTATTGCAGGCAGCTATGAGGGCAACTCACTGGACATGGGGCGCTTGGGCTGTGTGGCCAAGTTAATAGTAGCTTCTCTCTCAGGACCCCAACCAGCTCCATTCTTGGCCTTCACTGTGTAGCGATAGGGCTGTGATTCCCGTAAGTTTTCAATTAGAACCATCCTCTTCTTGGGTTCCTCCACCAGAACTCTCTTTACTGGCCCAATAGGTCCTGCAAGCAAATTTGTATGTAATACATTTCTTTGCAAAGCAAATAATATTTTATTGTGACTGCTGTTTGTTGCATCTTGAGTTGGTTTTATTATTTATAATTCTAACCTATGCCAACCCAATCAGGTAAATGCACTAAACACAGCAACTGTGTAGAAGTAATACTCAATTGTCTATTTTAAAGACATATTTTCATTTTTGAAATACTACTTTTGGAATAAGTGTTCTTCTATTAGTGGATATAATCCACTCTTGCCCAAGCTCCACTGAAGGATCTTGAGCAACTTGTTTGGTATGTGAGAAAGAGAGGCATGTGGTAGATCATATCCAGTCTATGGTCTTAGTTAACAAATCATAGAAACAAGATGGGGGGGGGAACTATTTTGACAAAAGATGGAAAAAAGCATAATTCCTAGCAAAAACATAATGTATTTTAAAGCAAAAGGATAATGATTTTATGTTCAGGGCACAATACTGCTCACACAGTATAAAGTAACCCTGTCATGTTTGAAGGACTTGCCTGGTTTTCTTATGGCTAGTTCTGTAAGAAAGGTTCTTTCCTATCAGTATAGTTAAGAGTACCTCCACCTAGAATAAGGAAAAGCATTTCTTTTGTCAGAGGGACAGGGGGGCTGTGTACTGGATCCGATTTTATGACTGCGAGACTCGAGAACGACATTCCCCATTGGTGTGCTAAGCACTCTTAATTGAATAATTGTTTTTAAAAAGGTGTTGACCACTTCACAGCTCCCAGGATGGCTGCATGGTAAGAACAGTAAATAGAACCTATGCTTACGGTTGTCCTCATTGACAAGTCCATAGGTGACTTCATAGGCTGTGATTGGTCCATTGGTCTCAGCAGGCTCTGCCCAGCTCAGCTGTGTCACAGTGGAGGAGACTACGTTGAAAGCCAAGCGTCCAGGCTCACTGGGAACTACAAAGCATGAAAGTAAAGCAATGCTTCAGAAGCAACGGAAACACTGGATTAATCTCATTCGCAGAAAAAATGAGAAGCCAACTGTAGTGGTAGCTATGACATCACTAACCTTTTCTTACTGAGTTTAGAAACTAACTGAGAGTTCAAGCATTTTTCAGCTGTCAGTGAACTCTGTTTACTCAGAGTTAATTTTATCTTGGGCAGTTAATTGAAAGTTACAGAAAAATTAGATTAATTGCTTTTTAATAGAAGCTAGGAATTGAGATTGGCCTTCTTATCTTGCTATTTCAGATGTAACTCATATGCATATGCTGATTGGCTTATTTGCACTTGTGTTGATTATTTCATATTTAGTTAAGAACCAATCAGTTATCTAAATAATAATCACATGATTGTGATAGAACAGATTTAGAGATAGATAAGGTTGACAAGCAGTTCTCTGGATGGAAGCGTCAGAAGAAGACCAGGTGAGATTTCTGGGTGTGTAAATTGGGTTTTTTGATAATCCCTAAAAGCAGTGAGACAGAAAGCTGAAACCTGATTTGTTTTTTAAACTATCACTTGCTATAATATGATTAAGCAATGCTAAGAACTTTGACAATTTTAGCATTAATTTTCACTGTAATTGTAGGGTTAATTTTTATTTGCATGTATTTTTTCTGTCCTGCTTCATAAAGAAAACAATTTCTTATCTCAATTAGAGATAAAAGTCTGTATAGGTTTTCTGTCTGGTTTTTTGGTTAAAATTCAAAGAACCGACTCACCCCTAATTCTTTTATATTATCAGAATTAAAGGTTGATTTTTGTTGTTGTTCAGTCTCGCAGTCAAGTCTGACTTTTTGCGACCCCATGGACCACATCATGCCAGGCCCTCCTGTCTTCCGCCGTCCTCCAGAGTTTGCTCAATTTCATGTTGCTTGCATTGATAACACTGTCTAACCATCTCATCCTTTGCTGTCCCCTTCTTCTTTTACCCTCAATCTTTCCCAGCATCAGGGTCTTCTCCAGTGAGTGCTCCCTTCTCGTTTGGTGCTTTCTTGTTTACTGTGGAATATGTCAACTTACCTTCCTCAAGTGTGCGACAGTGAACCAGTTCAGAATAAGGCCCCTCATCTGTAGCAGTGTAGGCACAGGACTGCATTTCATAATCACAGTATGGGTACAAGTTGGTAAGCTCTGCTGAAGGCACTTTGGAATCAAGCAGGTGGGCCTCTGATTCAGGGTCCCCTTGGATCCAGTATTTAACCTGCAGTCCAAAGAGAAACCGCTCAAATGCCATCCCTTTGGTTTCAACTACTTCCTTAAGCCACACTGAGCAATTTACTCTCACTAGACGTGTCCTTAATTTAAGGTATGTTCTCAATCAAAACAAGATTTTCCCAGTTGAATGTAATGGATATCTCCCCTTTCAGAAAATCCACATGTTCATAAAATGGCAAAGATACACCACAGATCTAGGTTGCTACACCAGGGCTTTTACAAAGGACATTCACTGATCAATGAAAACTTTGTTGGTGAAAATCTAATGCATCAAACCCTGCAGAACTTACCTAATAGTTCATAGATAACTTTTTAAAAAAATTAATAATTGAACATTTCAAAAGCATTACAAAATTTCATTCTCAAGGAAAATCAAACATAAAAAAATAACCAATAGAAGTTAACATTAAGTTAAAACTAAAATTACAGGAATAAAAAGTATACCCTAAATCTAAACTAGTAACAATAAAAAATCAAATATATAACTTTAAACAAGTATCATGTCCTTATAAACTGAGTTATCTGGAAGGATATTTTTTGTTATTAAAAATTTGAACAATTGGAAACCATATTGTGACAAAATTATCATATGCTCTTTCAGAATATGGTTGCCTAGAATAGACTACTATTTTGGCCATTATAAAATGTGACCAAATGCGATGCAACCAATTCTCTGTAGGTAGAAGTGTAGGATTCTTCCAATGGGCTGCAATAATCATTCTAGCTGTTGTTAATAAAATGGAGATTAATTCAGAGTGTTTCTTTATTCCCCATGAAGCATCCCAGAAATCTAACAGAAAAACCTCTGGCAAAAATGGAAGGGACTGACCTGTAATATGGATTATCTTTTGTCTTACTTGTTTCCATAACTGTTCTCTATCACTGGGCAATACCACCATACATGTAAATAGTCTCTTGTATACCCACATTTTTTGTTACACAGTGGGGAGTTTATAGAGGAAAACCTATAAAGCTTAACTGGGGGGAAATACCACCTGGTGATTATTTTGAAACACTGAAATTTAATATTGAAAACAGAGAACTTAAAGGAATGAAAATTCCAGAGAACTCGCCAGTCTTCAGGATGTAATCTATCCATGCAATCCTGGCTTTTTGAAAAGAAAGTATATTCTCACTTTTAGAATAGAATAGTATCTTATATGCAGACCTTTCATACACTGTGAGCCATTATTTAAAATAATTTCAAATTCAGTTAAGGGGTGAGTTAAAGACTTTTTCTAAACCTAATTTATTTTCCAATTATGCTTTCTCTAATAATTTATTTTTTCCATTAGATCTTTCAATATCTTGATCCCTTTTTGTTTCCAAGACTGAAAGATATTCCTGTCCCTGTCTATAAAGCCTGTGGGAAACCACTGTTGATTCAAAGGTGATGACATGTGAGAGATACCTGGGGCTAGACATTCTCTATATTTAGCCCATATCTTCCAGGTATGTATTAAATATGGGTTTGTTTTAAAATGGGCATTGGGTTTATTTTTGTTGTCCCAAAAGAATTCTTGCATAGAAATTGGAGAAGTATAAAAGTTTTCTATTGGAACCCAGGATTGTGAGGAGTCTTCCTTTAACATATTTATTATTAAGGCCAGGGGAGAGGCTTCGTAGTAATAAGTTAAGTTCGGACAGTCTAGCCCCCATTTGTCTCTTGATCTGTAAAGGACTGACTGTTGAGATCTGGGCCTTTTATAATCCCAGATAAATCTATTAAATTCCCGTTGCCATTTATCCAGATCTGATTGTGGGATATGAAGAGGAAGATTTCAAAAAAGAAATAAAAATTTTGGAAGAATAAAAGATTAATCAACTGATTTCTATCTGGCCAAGAATATTTCATACTTTTCTGTTTGTCTGTTTTCATCCTCTTGAGACTCACAGGATTAAAACAGAATCTAAATGGAAGGGGAGGTGCAATTTCTCCCAATTCCTGCTCCTTCTGCACATCCTTGATTTGCCCCTCGTGGCATTATTGAGGGCTTCCTACCTCCCTGAAGCAACTTTTTGGAAAGATCAGTGGGCTATAGCAGGGGGGAAAGTAGGAAAGTTATATTCTGCTGATGGAAGTGTCTTCTGTTCCTGGAAAATTTGATCTGGATTCAGCCCATTGTCAAACCAGTTTCCATTCTGTCTCTGTACAATGGAAGGTAATCAGGTAGATTTAAAACATAATCCTTTTGACCTGCAGGGCTTTTCTGTAGAAAAAGCCCAGCAGAAACTCATTAGCATATTAAGCCACACCCCTGACAGCACAGGTCATTAGCATATTAGGCCATACCCCCATGCCTTCCCTTGGCTTGTCCGGGTGCCTTGTGGCTGCGGGAAGCCCCCCCTTGAAGGGAAGGCAGTTTAAACTGCCTTCCCTTGGCTTGTCCAGACGCTCTGCGGTCCTTGGAGGGGAGGGGAGGCAGTTTAAACTGCCTTCCCTTGGCTTGCCCGGGCGCCTCATTGCTGCCAGCCCCTGGGCAAGCCAGCCCTTGAACAGGCCAGGGAAGGCACAGAGAGGCATTTAAATGCCTCCCTGATCCTTCCAGGGCCACCCTGGCCCGCCCACCTCGGAGTCACCGGGGGGGGATTGCTCTCCAGGCCTTCCCTCTGTAGCCACTCACACAGAGGTTTTGGCTGTAGTGGGTGTGGCCAACTCTGAAGCCAGCTGAAACTCCGTTCCTGTGCGTTCCTGCCCCAAAATAGCCCAGTTGACCTGTATGAATCCATTGCAAGCTAATGCAGCCCTTCTCCATAATGCCACCTTGGGGAGGAATGTACACCTCTCTCTGTGTGCTACTTTGATTCTAAGGCACTCATTCTAATGTAAGCTGCCCCCCACCATAAAGCATTCATCAATTTACTCCTCCCCCAAGGCACTATTTCTGCATCCTCCAAGGGTACCCTGTATGCTGGAAATTTGGGGGTATTGCTTTAAGCAAGGGGGGGCTGCCAAAGTGAATGTTTCAACCATATAGAGTGCACATAGAAATCATCACCCAGTGGTATAGAAGTGTGCCTGAATGCCCTACCTTCAGCTGTGATGTCAGGAAGACTTAATGGGATTTCATACTCAGATCAAATCTGTAATTGTGGCAGCAGTAAAACTGTCTCTGTGGATCATATTCTGCTTGATCGTCCCAAATTTTCAGCTCTAAGAGATGAGCTGATCTCCCCTGTATTTAATCAGGACTTCCTGTCTCCAGAAGCAAAACCATCCTGGTCACTTAGAGATGAAGACAAACAAACTATGCTGTGTGTGGCAAAATTCTAGCAGCTGTTGTCAAATCACACGACAACTTTTGCAGTAGCAACCTTTAAATTCTTCCATGTTTTCCTGTGGAATGAGGTTTATTGTGGGATGAGGGTTTGCTGTTCATGACTCCAGTTGCAAAAAACAGTAAAGGCAATAAACAGTAAACAGTGGTAGCAGCATAGTGGAGGACAGGAAGGTTGTACTGGCCCTCTGTGGAGCCATTCTGGACCAACCTCCCTTATGTGAGTTAAGTAGGATAACATTCTTATCTTTAGGAAGTCCTTACTGACTAACTCACTGTACCTTGTACCCTGCAACTTTGCCAGGAGGAGGTAGCCAGTTGAATCGGATCTTCCTCGAATTTAGAGCATGTGCGTTTGGATTAAGGGGTGCTCCAAGCCTGTTTCTGGAAGTCATTGGAAGTTGACCCAGGCCTGTCATGGATGCTACACCATCCACAGCTTCTGTAGAGAGGGGAAAAGAAAGTGACATCTCTTTTTCAGCATCCATTCCTGAAGAAATAGGCACTTGGTTGCATTTGTCAACGTTGCAGGTTGGAATGTCACAGCTGACACCATCATGGCTGCCTCACTCATCTACAAGGGCAGAACATTGAATAGAAATATATAGCTGTGGTTGAACATCGGGCAACCAGATCAGTCTGGTGACTAGTATAGAGCAAAGATACTCATGGTCCTTAAGAGCAGTTGGGACTGAATTGGTTCACTGTTTTTATTTTGTGCTTTTCACAAATGCTCTGTGGTTTAAACAGAAAGGATGTGTGTATGGGAGATGAAGGATGCCACCACGGTGCAATGGTTGGAGTGTTGGACTAGGAAGTGGGAGACCCAGGTTTGAATCCCCACTCTGCCATGGAAGCTGTCACACATTCCCTGCCTAACTTACCTCACAGGGTTCCCGTGAGGATAAAACGGGAAGAGGAGAATGATATAAGCCACTTTGGACCCCACTGGGAAGAAAGATGGGGTAGAAATGAAGTAAGCTAATAAATAATTATTGTGTCTGGCCAAGTGTCTGTCTCACTCTGGAGCAAGACTCTTCACTTAGTGGAAGGGAGTCATAAAATTCAACCCAGTCTTGAAATGTTGAAATATAATATCACTGGCCTTGCATGGCATTTTCAAATGAAGGTTATTAGCAACATAGGAGAGGTGGAACATGAGCTCAGGATTGTCCCTATTCGCCAGACCACACTTGGTAGCTCAGGTGCGGAAACTACAGACTGTATTACCTGGTGCGCATAATGCGTCAAGTTTCTGTGTTTGCTTTGCAGAGTCTAGTGTTCAGAGACACTACAGACACATCAGGACCAAAACAATTCTTGACAAAGTTGCCAAACTTACCTGGATCATCAATTGTCACTACAGTTTTGGGGTATTTGCCAACTTTTGCCCCAAACTTGGGATCAAGAAGTTCTACTATGAACTGTTTCTGCTGCCTGTTATGAAGAAAGGCATCTATCTCAGTTAGCTCCAACAATGGCACTTGCACCTCCTTCCGCTTCTCTCCGGGCTGGAAGACCAACTCACCCTCGGTAAAAATATAATCCTGGGTGTGTGGGGAGGGGGACAGAGAGAAACAACATGCCAAACGGTGAGCTAGCACACCACAACGATTTTCTATAAATGTTTTTCCTACAGTAGACAGTGGCACTAATCTCACTGCAATCACTAGGGACCTCGCAAGACACAACAGCTGATTTCGCACTAGAGCTGCCTCGATGTTGTGCCGCCATTTGCCCCGATACTATTGGTCAATTTCACATCCGAAGCTGCGGGGCTCCATTTGACCCGCGGCTTCGCCCGATTTCCTCCACAGCTTCGTGATCCTCAAAAAACAGGATCACGCAACTGTGGGGGAAATCGGGCGAAGCCGCGAGTCAAAATGCAGCCCCGCAGCTTCGGGTGTGAAATTGACCAATAGTATCGGGGCAAATGGCGGGGCAAATTTTGGGGATGGAGCCTGGGGAAGATGGGGGAGGGACATTAATTGGATATAATGCCATAGAGTCTACCCTCTAAATTAGCCATTTTCTCCAGGGGAGGTTGGCAACCCTACTGTATTCCAGCCTGAGTGCCTGTAGCTGTCCTTGAGTCTTCCTATAGTAAATTACATGGAGCCAAACCAAAGCAGGGCTTTGAGCTTTTATTGAGGAGTTCAATGGAAGATGGTGTTGTGAATCAAAGGGACCATCCATTCAAGAAAATACATACTCTTCCTTGAGCAAAGCTTTATTTCATAGAGGAAGAAACAGACACTTTTATGGTGATACATTGGTGTGTGTGGGGGGGGGGGAGGAGATTGGATTTATACCCTGCCCTTCACTACCTAAAGGTGTCTCAGAGTGGCTTACAGTCTCCTTCCCTTCCTCTCCCCACAACAGACACCCTGTGAGGTGGGTGGGGCTGAGAGAGCTCTGACAGAAACTGCCCTTTTTCAAGAACAGCTCTTCTTAGAACTATGGCTTGCCCAAGGTCATCCAGCCAGGTGCAAGTAGAGGAGTGGGGAATCAAACCCGGCTCTCCCAGATTAGAGTCTGGCTAAGTGAAAAATTTTGCTGGATCCAACCCTATATTTTATTGTTTATGATTTTTATGGCTCAACTGCAATGAAAGGTGAGTTTTAACCACATCTCGCCTACCTTGAATTAACTTGACAAATTTAATCCTACAAAGCACATAAATCTGTGTAGAACAGATGCAAATATGGTGATCTGTCTGACTGGAATGCAGCACCTATGTGCAATGGGAAGTGTATGTAAAACTCCACACCCTTCTCCATGTGAACCCATGATACCACGAACAGTCTTCATATGGTTCTTGTGCAGAGAGGGGAGCATGTATCACAAAAGGATTGTTCAAGATGTATTTATCATAGGACTTGCTAGTTTATGATGAGTTTCCAAGACAGATTCTTGCAGCAAGAATAGCTGTAGGTTCACTGAACTGCACTGAGAACTTGGAATTTGTCAGGAGCACAAACCCCACCTTGTCTCCTCTATTAGGAAGAGTTAATAGGCACAAATCTCTGCATTCTGCCTTACACTGCTATAACTGACTCCTCCTCCACAGGAAGTTTCAGGATTCCATGCAGGAGTTCACTATCAGCACTGCCCACTGGATGCAGCATCAGGCTGTCAAGTGAGGTGTGCTTTTGATGCAAGGCACGTTATTACAGCCACTTAATGGTCAAAGGATTTACTGTAAACACAGCTACAAATGCCCTCTCTTCTTTAGACAGTTTGACAGTCCTTACTTTGCCTTCCTGGGCAGTGAGATCCCGTGTCCTGTATGTTATCTGGGACTTCCCGTTCTCCAATATTTCACGGCTAACAGGGATCTTCGCCAATTTGTCAAAGCGGCTGTAAGAATAAGCTGGCTCTAGGAAGCTAATGATGCTTTTGGCTAAACAGATAGAAAAAATGATGTGTTTGTTATTAGTATGAATACAGCATCTATAACTAAAGGTAAAGGTAAAGGTTCCCTTGCTCGAAAGCCAGTCGAATCCGACTCTAGAGTTGCGGTGCTCATCTCCGTTTCAAAGCCGAAGAGCCAGCGCTGTCCAAAGACGTTTCCGTGGTCATGTGGCCGGCATGACTAAACACCAAGGCGCACGGAACGCTGTTACCTTCCCACCGAAGTGGTACCTATTTATCTACTTGCAATTTCTTGCTTTCGAACTGCTAGGTTGGCAGGAGCTGGAACTAGAGACGGGAGCTCACTCCATCATGCGGCACCCGGGTCTCGAACTGCTGAACTACCGACCTTCCACAGCCTGCAGTTCAGTGTCTTAACCACTTGAGCCACCGCAGCTCCATCTATAACTAAGCACGGCACAAACACTATGTTACTTAAGTAAGCATAAAAGTTAAGATTAATTTACTGCCCACACTCATAGCATAAAAGTGACACTCCAGTATTTTCCTGATTAGCTTCCTAACATTCTGTTGCCATCTGGCTCTCAGATACATTAATCTCTCAAGATATTCTGCAAAGTTGATGGCAAAGTCTATAAGGAAACAGTCAATAAAAGGACTCTAGTCTCAGATTAGTATTGCCAAGATTAGCAGATGATGGACACCCCAAATTGTTCTTAATATGCCATGATGCCATGATCTTATAGACCAGGACATGCTGAAGCTCCATTCCTTCCTAGAAGGAACATGAGAATTGGGATATCACAGGTGCTTGGGGTCAGGATGGCAGCAAATGAACTTCCCCATTGTTCCCCATTAGTTGTTGGTGAGCCATGGTATCATGAGCTAAGAAACTTCACTTATGCAGAAATCAGTGGCATGAGATTGTACATATCTCTGCTTTTTAAAAATAAAAAGTAAAGGTAAAGGTTCCCTTGCTCGAAAGCCAGTCGAATCCGACTCTAGGGTTGCGGTGCTCATCTCCGTTTCAAAGCCGAAGAGCCAGCGCTGTCCGAAGACGTTTCCGTGGTCATGTGGCCGGCATATTTTTAAAAAGGTTGGTATATATATATATCCCAACAGATGTCCATAGTCTTCTTGAGCACTGACCACATAGACACGATGGTACAGTGTAGGTGCCGCAGATAAGTCAGTGTCCAGATGGCTCCCTACGAGCTCAGCCCTCCATAGAAATAATGTACTAATGGAGTACATTATTCTTGATCAGCATCCCATTTTTGACATACAACAGTGCCTGTCTCTAAGATTCAGAGCCAAAAAAATCTGCATGTATATTCAGTACATAGAAAGCAGTAAAAACACTCTAAATAGGGCTTTACATGTGCCTTTTTCAGGGATCCAGGTTTTGAACGGAGACCTTAATCAGAAATGCAGTCTGAGTTCATCATATTGTTATCTAACAGAAAAGGAGGAGGAAGAAGACGAAGACGAAGAAGATAAGAGGAATCATGTTACATTCCATCAGATTAGCGTATTTACCTTGTTCTTTAATTATAGTGATGTTGACAAGACGGCGACCAAGCTCTGCAGTCCCCACAGGGACATCAGTGGCCTCCACCTGCAGCTGCTTTTCATCATCATCGTCATCCCTGATGAAGAGGGGAACCCGGACATCCACCAGCTCCACTCCTTCCTGAAACTCAACCATGCCATGGGCATCTGCGGTTGAAATGGAAGCAGATGAAGATAGAAGGTAATCATTTACATGGGGAGGGAGGGGCTTCTGATATTATCCCTCTGCTTTCATCAGAGGTCTAGTTCACATAGAAGTGGTAAATCTTTTTCTGGATTGGACTATTTTAAGACTGATTCAGATGTTACAAAGTTCAAGTGGGACATGTGGACTGTTGACAGACATGGCCTGGGACTTCCATGCTGGCCCGATTCAGATTCTGACCGTGGCACTCGGGGAGAAGGGGTGTAAACTTTCCCCCTCGGTGCCATTTTAAGGAATTCAGAATCAAAAAGTTTGTTGAATTGGGATTCACATGACTGACTGTTGATGATAAGGAGAAGTTAGGCTAGATTTCTATTAATGAGTATTCAGTCACAGCTGAATCTGCATCTCAAGCCTCAGTCTTGGTTGAATTAAGGAACTTAATTCAGAAACAGGCCAAAATGTAGCATGCATCTCCTACCTTGGTCTGAGATTACAGTATAGTAACCAGGTGCCACTTTCAGGTCATTGAAAGCCTCCAGAGAGACATGTTTCTGTGTTACTTTCACAATCTCATTCTTGGATGAGCGGGGTGCATTGAGAACAGTGTCCACAATTGTGTGGTCTTGCCTGGAGATGGGAAAAATATAGATATGTAGCTCACTATACATAGTTTATTACCAAGGTATTGTATCCACAAGGTAAATCATGCAGTGCAGACTTGACTTTCAACTACACCTAGTCTGTAAACTAGTGACAGCAGGGCTGCCAACTCTGGCTCGGGAAGTCCCTTGAGATTTGTGGGTGGTGCCTGGGGAGGGTGGAGTTTGGGAAAAGGAGGGAGCTCCATAGGAATGTGTGCCATAGGACTCCACCCTCCAAAGCTGCAGTTTCCTCTGATCTGTAGTCTGGAGATTGGTGGTAATTCCAGGAGAAATCCAGGCGCAACCTGGAGGTTGGCATCCCTATGTAAGTCCACAGACTCCTGCAGAAGGCAAGCAGTAAAGGTGCCAATCTAGGTCTGTCTCACATGATGCCCCCCAAAATATTTGCAGTATATCCATATAAGGACAATTGGAGTCCCATATTTACTGCCTGTTTGCAGCCACACATCACTCCTTCACAGGAAATCTGTGAGCAACCATTTCTGCCTCCCAGAGGTGGATTTATGAACAAGCTGAGTAAACTACAATTTAGAGCCTCAGAATATGAGGACCCTCTAGGGCTGCCAAGTCCCCCCAGGGGGCGGGGAAACCCCCACCCCAGAGACCCGTTCCCCGCCGGCGGCGGATCGGGCCCTGGGGGGAACCCCACCCCAGCGTGCGCGTCATCAGGAAGTGACGTTATGACGCCGGGCACACTGGGGGCACGCTGGGGGCAGGGCCACGACCATCCGAGGGGAAACTCTATGGTTTCCACCCGGGAGTCCCCCGCTGCTGAGGTAAGTTACACTTGGCAACCCTAGGGCCCTCTAAAGACAAAACTTTTTACTAAAATTACTAAATCATCATTTTGGGGGGTAATGTTACAGGGTCTCTTAAACTTGATGTGTTTTAAGGCCTCAGCATGTCTTAATACAGCCTTATTCCTGCCTCCTCTGCAGGGATAAGTTGAATGGTTGGGGAGGGCCAGGTAGGCTTACCAAACGCCGGCGGGGGAAATCTATTTCCTGGCAGGATGCGTGCCGCGGGGGACGGCTGTGCGCGCTGCACCCGCCGTCGCCAGGATGTGACGCTCCGCGTTACTCTGGCAACGGGGCTGTTTGGGTCCCGTTGCCAGGGTAACGCGGAGCGTCACATCCTGGCGACGGCGGGTGCAGCGCGCACAGCCGTCCCCCGCGGCACGCATCCTGCCAGGAAATAGATTTTCCCCGCCGGCGTTTGGTAAGCCTAGGGCCAGGGTCAGTATATTTTCCTCATGTAGGGATGGTCTTAGTGATTCCAGGGCCTTGGGCAAAAAATCCGGGATGCTGCCCCAGAATCACTGCTACCTTCCACCAGCCCTCCCCACTGCTAGGGCCAAGCAAGGGGTGGTCTTGCCTTATGTAGACAAGTGGGAACTGTCGTTGGACGCCAGCTGCCCTACCTCCAGATGGAGCAGGCACAAGGGGATGCTGAGCTGGCTACCAGAGCTAGGGGCAGGACGGATGAGAGTAGTGGCAGTGGGAGCCTGTCTTTCTTTTTCTCTCCCCCCCCATCAGGGGCAGGGCTGTGACAGTGCCCCCCAACCCAGCACAGGGCCTGGGGCATATGCCCCTGCTGCCCATTGGCTAAGATCACTCCTGCCCTCATGCAGCGCTGAGAAGTGAATTGATAATGTGAATACATCAGTGCAGAAAGTGGAGGCACCAGAGGTAATGTTTTAAACAGGTATCACATTTGTTGAGGTTCAGGTAATGGTGCCCCCGCCAACAGACACAGCAATGAAAAATTTCCACATGCCCACACCTGTATTCAAAACCAGGTTATAATGCTTTTGCTTACCTTTTCCCAGAATTTGGCTGTAACCTGAAGAGAAAACAGATCAGATGAATAACTTTGATCTCTGGAGAGGCACAGGGCTTTGCTGGTTTGCCCTGTAGGATATACTTTATAGCAGTCCTCCTTGCTGCAAACTAAAGGTGATGAGAGCTCTTACTATCCTATTAGTGAGTTTTCCATATAGGTATCTATTCCAATTCTTTCTTTAATATCTATCACAAGGGACAATAATTTCAATGCACAAATTCTCTCTAAGACCCATTACAACCCTAAGACTTAATTACACCCTGAAACCCTCACCTCTTAAGAAAAAAAACCCCAACCCATTGCATTTTCACAACTCTTCAGTTGCATTCTTCCATTCACTCACCTGAATTTTGTTTGCTGGAATCTGTGGGCACCAGGGATAGTTCTGTAAATCTCATTCAGCTATGAAGAGCACAAAAGGGTTATTAATTCAGGCTTCTCAAAGGAAATGCCCAAACATGAAAAGGTTGTGGTGTAAATGAAATCCCATTACTACCCACACAAATATTGAGTGATCACTGTTCTGTAATTTGTTGGAGGTACAACTGAAACTGGGCCTCCCAGTAAAATCCTTTCTCATGGGCAAGACCCTATTATATATCTGCTAAGAAATGTCCCCTTCAGCAATGGTCCCAATCAATGCTCCGTCTAAGCCAGTGGTGGTGAACCTATAGCACGGGTGCCAGAGGTGGCACTCAGAGCCCTCTCTGTGGGCACGCGTGCCATCGCCCCAGCCAGGCCCAGACCATCATTAAAGTGTCGAATTCTCTGCCAAATAATTTTAAGTCAATGAAAGCATTTGGGATTGCTTTCCTTACTTTGTTTGGATCATCTTAAGTTAATGTATGAGTTGTTTTTTTCTAAAGTAATACCTCAGTATTCAGGTTAAATTGCCGTGTTGGCACTTTGCGATAAATAAGTGGGTTTTGGGTCGCAGTTTGGGCACTCGGTCTCTAAAAGGTTCGCCATCACTGCTCTAAGCTCTGGAGTCCTGTGAGCAAAACTTCTACTTTGTGAGCTACTGGCATTAAAGATGTGAGCAGGTGATTTGGCTACTGCATAAATTAGTTTGTTCTGGGGCCATCCTTCCTGAGCTCAGACAAAAATGGGTGAGCCGGAGGCTAAAAAACTGTGAGCTAGCTCACACTAACTCAGCTTAGAGGGAACACTGGTTCCAATTCTCCCTGTAATTTTCTGCTGTTTTCAAGCTAATTAATTAATTTCTTTCTTCCTGGGATTTTCAGGTACCCTCTCAGCAGCCATGAATTAGTGGTTAATTATCAGGTTTTGTTCTCTTTAGTAAGGAGAGGAGGTTAAGTACTTTGCCTTAGACTCTAACATTCTTTTCCACCTGTTGAAGCCACTTCTGTATATGGAACAAGAGAGAGGATTTTCAGCTATTCCCCTTACCCCTGAACCTGAAATCAAGAAAAGGATGCATTGGTGACTTCTACACCAGATGTTTGGGCCAGTTTTGATGAGAATAGAAAGTGGTTTATTTTCCTGCTTCCAAAAATATTATAGCACTTTCAGGTATCTTCCAGCTTTTCCCTGGCTTTGCTGCATTCTTTCTAAAACCTATTTTACTGTGTTGTTTTTGGGGAAAAGCTCAGCAAAGTTGGGGTGGTTGGCACATGGACTTTCCCAGTCTTGCCCACATTGGTGCTAGTTTCCCCTGCCCAAGTTCCCTTGCAACAGCCATTTCCCATCCTGTACTACCAGGGAGCTTTTTGGATGGTCATTAAAATTGTTGCGTGACATATCAGTATAGTGTTTTTCAATTACTACTGCACCCACCAAATCTCAACCAGTGAGGGGAAGAAATGGTTTAGGTTGGGGCAGGGAAAAGGCAGGGAAATCCGCCATCTGGAAGCTCTATAGCCAGTGCACTTAATCAGCAGCTACAGCAGCAGCAAGGAAACCACCGAGAATCATTGCCATGTGCAAGTCAACTATGTGGTTTCTCCTACCCCTTAATAGCAAACATGACAGTCATCATTACTTCCTGCTACATACATTCTCTTCCACTTCTTTTTGTAGTTGTTGGTGTTCACGGCTATCTGGTTTTGCAAGATTTTGGGTGTAGAGCCGGGCCAATCTGAGAGACAACCCATATGGAACTAGAAAAAAAGAAAAAAGAAAGAAATTAGTTAACCTTTTTCCCATGGTTGTTGGCAAGAAATACCAGGCCAAGACACAGCACAAAGCAATAGGACTGCAGGCCCATTCAGATTGTTTTATGTACTTAATGCAAACTTTAAATCCCACGGCTGGGATTCTGCACAGTTAAACTACTTAAAACCCATTTAATTTTAAGTAATGTAACTGTGTGCAGGATTCCAGTCTCAATGTTTAATTTTGTTGAATAGCATGAAAAGCTTGTTTCAGATTTGCTGGCTCTGAGATGAACATCTGGACAAATTCATGAATCTGCACCATCTGCACTAGATTGAGATGGTAATGCCATATATCAGCAGTTTTGTTAGCATTGATTATGGTATCCTTCTGGATCACATGTCTGGGCTGAGGACTGGGAGGCAGACACCATTATCCCGTGGTTCAGCGCGTGATTCTGAGGGACTGCCGCCCAGCCCCTTCGCTTTGGCCTGTGGTATACCACAAGGTTCCATTTTATCCCCTATGCTCTTTGACAGCTACATGAAACCATTGGGTGAAGCCATCCAGAGATTTGGGCTGAGTTGTTACTAATATGAGGATGACAGTCAGCCCTGTCTCACATTTCCAGCTGATCTCAGGGAGGCTGTAGAAACCCTGACCCTGTGGCCTGGAGGCAGTTTTGGAGTGGATGCAGGCTACTAAACTGAAGTGTAATCTCAACAAGATGAAAGTGCCACTGGTGGGTGGAAGGTCTGAACCAGGATTTAAGGTGTCACCCTTTCTGGATGGGGTTGCACTTCCCTTGAAGGAACCAGTCTCTAGTTTGGGGGGGGGGGTGCTGGAGAAGCAGGTGGCAGCTGTGGACAGGAGTGCCTTTTACCAGGTTCAAAGCTCTTGAAATCTCTCCCCAGGGAGATTTGTTTGTCCCCTTCTGTTGCCATCTTCTGCCTGCAGGTAAATACTTTTTTATTTAGTTTAGCATTTATCAGTGATCCCTCCTTCCCAACCAATGCTTTAATTGCTGTCTTTATGTCTTTGTATGTAGTTTAACTCTGTTTTTATTGTTTTAATGATATGTATTTGGGGGGGGGGTTGATTTTAATGGTTTTTAAAATGTGATTTTATCATGTATGTTTGGAATTGTTAACTGCCTTGGCGGCCCTTGTGAAGGCAGAAAGGTGAGATATAAATTTTGTAAAATAAATACATAAAATATATCATGGTTCCTGATAGAGGGAGACACCCAGGATCCATTTAGAACCTTAGCAGCATATTTGACCCTGAACATTTATTGAGATCAGCGTCCTATTTGAATGTAGTATTCCTTATGACTTGTTGTCAAGCACTTCATGAATACAGAGAGCTTTTGTACTACTCTCAGGGCTCTTTTTGTAGCAGGTATTCATTTGCATATTAAGCGACACACCCCTAATGTAGCCAATCCTCCAAGAGCTTACAGTAGCTCCTATAAAGCTCCTATAAGAAGAGCTCTGTAAGCTCTTGGAGGATTGGCTACATTAGGGGTGTGTGGCCTAATATGCAAAGGAGTTCCTGATATCTCCTGAGGAAGATCCATTATTGAAACATTGTTATATAATCCGGAGACGATGTTGATTATGTACCTATGCACAAGGATTTTCTTATGATTTATTAATGATGTTGTAGTGCTTTAGATTATAATACATAGGAACATTTTTCTTTGCATGTCTTGGTGACTGCTTGATTTGTGGGTCAGACTCTCACAACTGTTGTCTTTATACTTATTTTCTGATTGGGTCGTGATTGTCCATATTTATCTTGTGAACAAACATGCCACACATCATGGAAGACTGCAGTGAGTAGGGAGAACTGGGAAAATTGCCCGCCTCCTTCTTCATCAACAGAATCTGACGCAATGTATTTGTATGTGCAGCCAGATTTAAGGATGGGATTTTTTCTTTTGTCTGGCAAGCATAACTTTCACCAAATCTAGTTAATCTGAATTACAGCAAATATAAATCTGAGGATCTTGAAATGTGTGACTTCAAAGAAAGGTTTGAAGATATGGTATCTAAAATTCTGCTTGCCAAAAAAATTCTGTGTCTCCTGTGCATCAGAAAAAGTTGTTGCTGTCCTTCTGGAAAGTCTGCTGCCTGTTTTTGATACATTTCTCATACATGCATCTGGAGAAATCTCTTATCTGAGTTAGGCAGACTATAAATAACATAAAAATAAATAAACAAACATTTCAAAAATCCTCCTCCATGTAGAAACTTAGATACCAGGGAGAATTCTTCCAGTCAGCCTAATATTCTTTCCAGATTTGATGTCATTTCAAGATTTTGACACAAAGGAATATTTTAACAAGCAACTGGTCAATGCGCATTCTGGGGTAGTATTCATGTGATGGGAAGGTACCATATGTATGTTCGCAAGTCTGAATCAGAAACAGATTCTGAAGGGACAAGTGCTGCCATTCCCTCACCATCTCTGGCTTCAATAACAGGCCACACTCCACCCAATGTTTTTTCCATCTCTTAAAAATGGCACTCACTCGTATCCTTTGGATTGAGAGCTAAGGAAGAGAAGCCTTGCTTGTGCACATTGTTGTTGATCTTCCAGTGGACTGTGTCTCCGCCTTTCAAGTTGCCAGTCCGCACCATAGGAGTGTCCAGGTGGTCTGAGGACATCAGACTCTGCCTAAGCAGATAGTGGTCCTCCTTGAAACCAACAGTGCGACCTTTAGAGGAAGTAGTAGAGTTAGAATTTACACTTCTTAAAGTCTGGTCCAAAGTTTCCCATCATTCAGACTGAGTTACTAGAATAGGATGAGCTCATTGTCCAAGAAGGAACACCTTGCTTCTGATTCACACCTTACAAAGTACACATGAAATTACTTTTATACCGAGTCAGACCACTGGCTATTAAGGTAGGTAATCTCCGCTCCAACCACAGCAGCTGTCCAGCATCTCAAGTTGAGGTCTTTTCCATCAACTACAGAATGATCCTTTTAATTATAGATCCTTGGGATTGAATGTGGGACCTCCTGCATACAAAGAACATGCTCTACCACTGAACCACAGCCCTTTCTCATGTTCTTCCCATACAGAAGTATTTCTGGCTGGGTGAAAGGAACTAAGTGGCTAGCATCAGGCCCTGTTATACTCACTACTAACCTGTTCCTTGCCACCTATGAGCTATGGGATGCTAAAATGGCAAATTGCTCAATTGGCTTTTCTTCATACCTGCTTCACAAGTGATGCTTTTAGCATATAAAATATTGTACATGCTAAAAAAAACAGTACCTTTGATGTTCTAAAATACATGTATTTTTAGACTTCATGCAATATGGGTGTACATCACACAGTGCCCTTGACTGGCCATAGCTCATTGCAAGCATACCACGTAGGTGTGTGCAAAGTGGTAATCAGATTGGGACTTCACTCTCAAGGCAGAGCACATCCTGTGTTCAAAGTCCCACCATGCCCTCTTTCTGAGAAGTAATAGAAATCTACTGCTTACCTTCTTGAGAGATGGGTTTGGAAGAAATATAAATAAATATATGCTTGAAAACCTTAATACCACTGATGCAGATCACTGCATCAAAACAGACTTCCACGGCTTCTCTGCTATACTCCAAGATATCATTAAAGATTCCAGCAATAGCTGTGGCCACAAGATCATCCCACTGGGCTTGATCCTTTACTATTCAGACGGTACAGAATTCAAGACTATGTATATGTTTGATGATGTGAGGTCCCAGATTCTTTATATCTCCAAAAATAGTCTCAGGGAATAACACTTATTTAATCTTTCTGTTATGTTTACGGACAGCTGTTGCACGGTAGAGTTCAGGTTGATAGCACTGGAGCAGATGGGACTATTGGCCAAACAATATAAGAGAACACATTATAGTTTATATTGCCTCAGCTGTTGCCAACCTTATGCTAGACCAATACCCTTTCCTTGGAAACCCCACAGTAAGCACACCATGCTAACATTCCTGACCTCCACTCCAAAAAACCACATATAAAGAGAATGTACCTCGTGTACAGCAGGGCAGCAGGGCCAAACAAGCCTAAGAGATAAAAATAATAATAATAGTAAAGTGTACAACGTTTTTCACATGAAGGTACCGGTCAGGGAATCTTCCCCAGCCACAGTAATATATGTGCACAAGCCCTTCTTCCATACTGCCTTCAACAACTACTAGGTATAGCAGTATAAACTAAAATATGGGCCACTAAACCTTACCTGTTCCCAGCCAGTTTGGTGTAGTAGTTAGGAGCATGGACTCTAATCTGGGAGAACTGGGTTTGATTCCCCACTCCTCCACATGCAGCTGCTGGTATGACCTGGGGACAGCTACAAGTTCTTTCAGCTCTCTCAGCCCCACTTACCTCACAGGGTGTCTGTTGTGGGGAGGGGAAGGGAAAGGAGATTGTAAGCTGCTCTGAGACTTCTTTGGGTACTGAAGGATGGGATATAAATCCAATATCCTCCTCCTCTTCTTTCCAATGGGGCATAGTTCCTACTCCTAACATTGTTCTGTGAGTCCTGTTTCTTACGATTGGAGCATTTTCTGAGTACCTTCTTCCTATTGTTCCTTTTCACATTTAGGACATAGCAATGTAGCCTGGATAGCATTCTCTCAAAGATTAATATCAATTATAATTGCACTAATATTTGGGTCCAGAATGTAAATAAACCAAAAATGACGATCTCTTTGAAAGAGGGCAAACCTGTATGGGCAAGATAGGGAGTGTGCAACACGGACACACTTTGTCCCACAAAGCCTTAATAAGATTCACCTTTTAATTTTGGCCCTTTCAAAATGATTGGGTAAAATCCAGCAAGAAATGGCCCAGGTTGCTTTACACTGGAAAAAGTATTTTGGATTCCTGGTTAGTGGCTCAGGACTCAATAGGTCTGATGCAAAATGTTCATTTTTAGACCGCAATAGTTTACCAGATTTTGAAGTGGAAAGGTGACCTACCTTGCAACAAGCACAGAACTTCCAGCACAGTAGAAGCAGCAACCCCAGGAGCAGCATCAGTAACATTAGCAAGGGGATAAGCCAAAGGAAGCTTCTTGCTGGGCACTCTGGAATGACAGAAAAATCTTCATGGTTAGGAAAGAGATCACAGGGACCAAACAGAATCTGGGCAGGGAAAATACGTAAGAGTGGGAGGCAAAAGCAGACCAATCCACCAGAACTTCTCTACCCACTATAGGCTCCCCACCCAGTGTCCTATAAACAGTCACAAGTATACACAGTCACAAATTACCTAATTATCACACATGTACAGTGCCCCATTCTGATCTTGACTGTGGTGCATGTGGGAAAGCAGCTTCAGTCTCCACACACACACACACACACACACACACACACACAGACACACACACAAATATCATTTTCCTGACCTGGAACAGTCTGAAACAGCACTATTTGGCCCCTTGGGAAAATCCACAAATGTACATGTGAATTCTCCATTTGGCCAAACAGCTCCCATCAAGTGAGGAAAATGATATGGGGAGAAGGCTGAAGTGCCTTCTCTATGCATGCCACAGTTAAGATCTGTAGAAGCTGATGTGGGTGATTTTGGACCAGTCACAGACTTTCAGCCTAACCTACCTCACAGGGTTGTTGTGCAAGTCAAAAGAGGGAGAGGAGAGTGATGTAAGCTGCGTTGGTCCCCATTGCAGAGAAAGACTACTTTCCCTCCTGGGAAACCATTGCTGCCAATCTCCAGGTGAGGGCTGGAGATCACTCACAATTACAACTGCTCTCCAGATGGCAGAGATCAGTTCCCCGGGAGAAAATGGTGGACTCTGTGGCAGTCAGGGCTTCAGAGCACGGAAGAGGCTGCAGGTATGTATGTGTGGGGAAATGGAAAGCTGAAGAGAGAGGCGGAAATAAAGGTAGGGTGATGATTGGGAAGGAGATAGGGTTGCCAACTCCAGGTGGGAAATTTCTGGAGATTTGAGGGATGGAACCTGGAGAGGGTGAGGTTTGAATTGGGGCGGGACCTCAGACAGGTACAATGCCATAGACTCCACCCTCCCAACCAGCCATTCCCTTCTGGGGAACCACTGTTGCTTATCTCAGGAGAGAGGTGAAAATCACACAGAATTATAACTGATCTCCAGGAGGGAGGGGGGGAGATGCAAAGCTGAAATCAGAGGGGCAGTTAATGGCAGGTTGATGCTTGGCTGGGAAGGAGATACGGTTGCCAACTCTGGGCTGGGAAATTCCTGGAGATTTGAGGGGTGGAGCCTGGAGAGGTGAGGTTTGAGGAGGGGTAGGACCTCAGACAGGTACAATGCCATAGACTCCACCCTCCAAATCAGCCATTTATTCCTGGGTAAAAATTGTTGCCAATCTCCAGGTGAGGGCTGGAGCTCACTGAAAATTACAACTGCTCTTCAGGTAGCAGAGATCAGTTCCTCTGGAGAAAATTGTGGACTGTGTCATTATACCCTGCTGAAGTCGCCACAGCGCGTTGACGCTGAGTGCCCAAGGCCTTGGCACTCTCCCAGATCCTCTTTCTAGAGTTCGTTGTATTTATTTCCATAATGGGCCTTATTCTTAGTAATGTATAAAGACGAGTCTCTGTTATGATCAGAAAGCCAGTTCACAGACTTGTGTGTAGATTAATGATTCATAGATTTGGTCATGTCTTCATTATTAAGGTATGCCAAGGTAGACCCCAGACTATACATACATAAAACTCTATGATCTGGGATAATAAGAGAAGGACTCGACTGTAAGGAATAACAGCCAGTGTATCCACCAAGTGCCATCTTGCTTCAACATTCAACAGCATCTCTTCCCTGTTTTCTCCTTCCCCTTCTTGCTTACCTTTTTTGTTTTGCACAAGAACAGTTCTATTGCCTTTGATCTCGGGATTCTCTTCGGTGAAACGGTAAATGCAGTCATCTTCCTCATCTCGGAAGGAACAAGTTGTTTTTACCTCCCCATCTGCAGTGACATTAAACAGTGATATGCTACCAAAGCATCTTGAATATTTCTAGGATCAAAGCCATATTTGCTACCACCATAGAGATGAAGAAGATACCCTGTTTTAAAATACTTAGAAACTACCTCAACAATCCACAGGGACTCATCAACAATCCAACATTCACCATATGTTTGGCAAGAAGTCATGTGGATGCTGTAAGAGGCAACAGGTTGAATTCCCTTTGCTAGGGAAAGGCCAGCTTTGACAGAAACTTGGAACAGTTCACTTTGTTAATAAGATGGCTTTACTACTCATAAAGCTCGTCCATGCTGGATTAGATCCAAAGAACAATGAATGGAGCTCAGCTCACAGAATAAAACTTTCCCATCTTCCCCCTCCTGCTGTAACCTGAAACACTGCCTCTGGGGCTAGGGGACCACCAGAAATGTACTGGGCATAATGTGAGGATCTATAGCAGGAGGAGGAAATCTGTGAAAATCAACACATACACCCTTCTACTGGCAGAAGTTCCCTTCCACCCGTGGAAAACAAGGCTTAATGAACTGAAACCTCCTGTACAAAATGTTAAATCAAAATACAAGTACAATTTGGGTTGCCATGTGCCCATGAGTGCTCCAGTGTTTGAAGGAAGATTTAAAAAAAAAAAATTGTTGGTGACAGCATGATACCATTTCTGAGAAAACCCAGAACTGACATCACAATTCTCTAGGAATCGCCAGAAATGCTATGGTTTTTTCATAGGCTGATTTCGCACTAGAGCTGCCTCGTGGTTGCGCCCCCGTTTGCCCTGACACTATTTGTCAATTTCACACCCGAAGCTGCGGGGCTGCACTTGACCTGCAGCTTCGCCCAATTTCCTCCGCAGTTTCGTGATCCTAAAAAAACAGGATCATGAAACTGCGGGGGAAATCGGGCGAAGGCGCGAGTCAAAATGCAGCCCCGCAGCTTCAGGTGTGAAATTGACAAATAGTGTCGGGGCAAATGGCGAGGCAGCTCTAGTGTGAAATCAGCCATAGAGTTTCCAGCAATTCCTAGACAGGTATTTTCTACCATCACTGACAGCTGCCTCATTCCCCACCATGACCCTGACCCCCCTCAGTCTCCCACTGGTTGCCAACCCTGGCAACCCTGAGTACAATCAATCAGTACAATAGTTAACCTGTGTAAATGAATATAGTAAACATGTAATGTAGGTTTTGGGAGCCAATCCAGCTGCAAAGCAGGGGTATAAACAGATAAAATTTATTAGATTCACTGGAACAGTAAGTCGGTAATCTCTATCATATTTAGCAGAGTACACATGGGTTATACATAGCAGTAGTTTCTTGGTTCTGTATGTGCTAGCAAAGTTACAGACTTACACAGAGCCACTTGGCAGTTTCAAACTAATAAGAATCCTTTATTCAAGGAACTACATTCTAAATATTGCAGGCTGAGAGATAGAGATAGTATCTAACTAGCTGGATGTATGCATCTGCATCCATGGTGCCAAAGATGGAGAGAAACGTGCTTTTTCTTTGTGTGTGAGAGAGAAAGATGGGAGAACAGAAGGAAGGAAGCAATTCCCTGAGAGTATCAGTCTACAAATCAAAGGGACATAGGCAGAAGATTAAACAGGAAGGATGTTCACAGCCATCTGTCTATTTGACTCTCTTGTAACACCCCTGTTGTGTATTGAAAAAACTATGTTAAGCTTGAGTCTGAACCAGGATTGTAAATAGACCAATCAGAGCTGCACAATGTTCTGGAAGGAAGCACTCTGATCGGACCTTATCTGTAAATAGTTATTGGTTGTTAGCTGACATGTGGGCGTGGCTACCTAAGCCCGGACTGTTTAAAAGAGAGCCTGTTGCTCTATGTTTTTGTCTCGTTCTGATTTCTTCTGACTTCGTTAAATAAAGCTGATTCACTGTTCACTAGCTGTGTTGAGTCTCGTCCTTAACAACTCCGTAGGCTGAGGCTAGGAGACAGCATTTAGTCCTTGTCTTTTAGCAAAATTAAGAAAATAAATGCATTGGCATGCAAAGCATTCATCAGGACAAAGCAATAGACAATATAGAGTTAAACAAATTTGATTGGGAAAACATAACGGAAGCTAAATACAAATTGATGCTTTATTGTGAATAATATAACCAATTTAGCTTTCCCTATTTTGCCTATAACTTAATGCGCTTAGTGTACAATATTAAAATATGCTTGGATTTATATGCATTACTAAACCTTATTGGACATATACAAATTCTACCTGTAATGATATGTTTATTAAGTCTATCTTCAACCCTAATGTCATGTCAAACTGTTTATATTGTTGTATTATTAAAATAAATAAAATTTCTTTTAAAAAAATCAGGGTAAGGCAAGTCAGTATGCAGTGCTGCTGCATGGTCTCATGCTCATTCTGAGGTCACTTCACAAGTCTGCTGAGGATGTGAAAAGGTCTTTCACTGCTTATAGGAAACACACACTGGTAGTCACGAATCATTATTTTGTTCTGGTGCTGATGTTTAGCTGCTCTCCCCCTTGCTCTCCTCATTTTATCTTTTGTTGTGTTTTAAAAACCCCTTTTAGAGTTGCTCTTAGCTATTTATTATTTTAAATATTGAATTCTATTTTGAGGCTTGTTGAGTGGAGAGCAATTTGAAGTTTACAACCGGCCCTTTGAAGAGAAGAGAAGATTTCTTTCCATGTTGGCTACTCCACTGGTGCTGCAGTTAAAATGAAGTGCTGGATTAATGCCTCCAACTAAATTGAAAAATTCCAACTGACAAAATGACCTTCATTTGAATAGCTTGTTTGGGGTTTTGGGACTGTAATGAACTTTAGTTGCTCCTTGCTTATTAAGTATGAAAAGCATGAAAACACCTAAGCGTATGAGACAGGAGGAAGACTCTGCCCAACCCTCTCCCAAGCAATTGAAGATAAATGATTTTTTTTCTCATCTCAAATCCCTACCTGTAATCGGTTTGCTGTGCTGGAAGGCTTAGCTGACGCAAATGACCTGATTGAGGCTGCTGCCACCACAGACTTGCCTTCCCCCGTAATGATGGACCAAGCTGGGAACTGTGAAGCTGATGTGAGCCTGCCAGACTATTCCACAGGCAATGAGGAAGTGGAAGCAGACACTGGGGTTGGTTACCCTGAGTTTTTACAATTAATTGCTAAGACGGTTGAATACATTTGTAAGTTGCTTCATCTGTTACACCATAAACTGGATAACATAGGTGGTTTACTAGAAAATGTCTCTGGTAAAAAGTTCCTAGAGCTGGAAAGAACAAGGTGATTATACAGCCAAGGTCCCCTCACCCAGTGGTTTCTCCTGCTGGAGATGAGGAGCCTAAAGCCTTAGACAGGCTGCAACAAAAGGGGCCATATAATTTTGGTCGGAATTACCAGCTTGTGCTTCAACCTACAAAGGCTAGTTTGACTGTATGCAAAAACAATCCCTGCCTGGAACTCAAAAACACTAGTGAAGAAGCATCTAAGGGCTCTAGTAGGGGATTAGATAAGAATGCTTGACCTAATGGATTTAGGATTATTGTCTAGTGGGCGTCAGTCCCAGAGAGTCCTGCTGACCTTTAGGACATTGACTCTTCCTTCAGTCCTGCTTCAAAGTAAAGATTTTTTAAGCTCTTGAGGAATCTTTCCCACCCGTGTCTATCTGAACACAATTCTGGACCCTTTATGCCCAGAACTGAGTGCTAAAGATAATAACAACAGGAATAGACTGGATTGCCGGCTTCAAGGCAGCATAGCACATCTTGACAGAAGCCCTCTCTAACCAGGAGCATGCCAGCAGTCAGTCGGGGGAGATGGTAATGGATTTGTCACCCATCACAGACTGTGACCAGGTTTCATTGGATGGTCAGCACCCCACTGAGATGGCAGTGGAGGCCAGCCTTAAATGTCCAAAAACAGCTGTATTTTTATGACACTGGTAATTCATTAGATCAGTTAGTAAACTCTGACTGACTAAGAACAGATCCCTTAATTACAGACTTAAAGATCGTGTCTTGGAATATCGCCAGATGAAAGGAAAAAAATCCAGTGACCTGGAGTTAGGAAGCTTCCTTAGGGAATCTGACATTGTTCTTTTGCAGGAAACCTGGGCCCTTTTTGAGATCAAGTTGCAAGGCTGTAAGTCTTTCTCTATTCCAGCTTATAAATCTAATTGGGTTGGTCGTAATCAAGCTGATCTTGCATTATTGTGCTCCCACAAACTTAATTTAGAGGTGACCCTCCTTAAAGCCTGTGAATGAAATACACAGACTTGCCTTTTGGAAGGTTATGGGGAACCTCTTATTATAGTTAACTTGTCTATGCCACCCTACATAGTTAAATCTTCGGCTTGTAATTGGGATGCCATTTTCAGAACTCTAGAAGATTTAGAACAAGAGTATCCAGGTGTGGCTGTTTTAGTTGTGGGAGACTTTAATGCTTGAATAGGAACAGATGGGCCTCTACTTGCCAGGAGTTTGGGCCTTGATGTTGATAATAGTCTCCCCAATTGTCTGTCCAGTTACAGATACGCTAAGGATTCCCATATTAACCAAGCGGGAATTCATCTTGTCCAATTATGTCTCAGATTTAATCTTTCGATTTTTAATGGAATCCCCCCCCCCCTTTGATTCTTTTGGGCAATTTACCTATGCCTCGAGGTGTGGTTGCAGTGTTATAGATTATTTTTTAATTTCATCAAGCCTTGGGGAATCAGTGAGATTTTTCTCATTTGAGGACCGCACAGAAAGGGACCATTCCCTTTTGGTTCTTGCTATCAAACTGTCTCCCACCTCGGGATACAAGGGTTGTCACAGATTTGATACAGGCATTGAGGCATAAAAGGCGCAAAGAATTTATTGGACAAGTAAGGTAGCACCTAAGGTTTATGGTTTCTTAAATGACAAATTATTAGGTGACTTCCTTTTACTCATGCAGGATCAGAAGCCCCAAGTGGTGATACAGGCATATGAATGCACCATGGTTGAACTTTTGGACTCTATTAGGCCTAGTTCGAACCAGCAGCAATGAGGAAGGGGGGGTAAATGTAAATAGCTGGTTTCATAGGGAATGTCTTGAAAACTCAGGTCCGTGCCCTTTACAAAAAGTATAGGAAATTGGAAACTGCATGTTTACTGAAGGAATATTTGGTTCTGAAACTCTGATTAACGCAGTTATATAAAGATAAGCAAATGGCCTTCACCCAAAGGTGCTGGGAGCCACTTATTCAGGCTACTGTCAGTAATGACAGAAGAAAATTTTGGGCCTTGATTTCAGGCTCTATGGGTGATTAATATGCTGTTAATTGTTCAGTTTCAGTTAATGAATGGTTTTATGACAGACACTAGTACTAAGGAGGAACTTAACCTTAGTTTAAATGGTTGCTCAGAGTGGCCACCGGTGCAGGTGGAGGCCCTCATTCAAGGTATTAAGCCTTGAAAAGCATCTGGTCCTGACTCAATTCTCCCAGAAATGATTAAGGAATTCCCGAGTTTGTGGGCCTTTCTTCTGGCTGCCCTATTTACTGTAATTGATAGGATGGGCTTAATGCCCGGAACCTGGACTAATGCAATAATAGTTCCTATTTTTTAAAAAAGGTGATTGCCAAATTCCAGATAAGTATAGGCCTATTAACTTTTTATCGGTTGTGGACAAGCTGTATGTTTGACATCTGGCTAATAAAATAAAGATCTGGATTTCTGAGCAGAAGATTCTGGGCCCAGAATTCTGGGCTCTTGTCAGGGGAAATCAACTCTGGACCATTGTATTGTTTTAAGTCATCTGGTGAGCAAGTATAGTAAAGAGAGGCGCTCTAAGTTATTTGCAGCCTTTCTAGACTTGAAGGGAGCCTTCACCTCCGTCCCTAGAGACCTTTTATGGAAAAAAACTAAGGGACCTGGATATTGATGAGAGGTTGCTTTTCCTGATTAGGAAGCTCCACCTCAACACTACTTGCCAGGTGAGATGCTTCCAGTGAGGGTGACTTAACCCCTAAGATTCCAATAAATGTTGGAGTAAAACAAGACTGCATCCTAGCACCTTTATTATTTAATCTTTTTGTGAATGATCTAGACGGTTATTTGAAAACCACTGATGGCCATAGTCCCAAATTAGGGGTGATCCATCTGCCACTGCTTCTCTACGCAGACGATGTGGTACTTCTTTCCCTGACTCGTGGGAATGAAAAGATTCTTAGTCTGCATTCTTGAATATTGTGATGTTAATAAATTAACTTTACATTTTGGGAAATCTAAAATCATTGCCTTTGGGAAGATGCAGAAGCCTAATAAATGGAGCAGGTTCCAAGCTTTAAATACCTGGGAGCACAGTTTCATCATAGCCTTAGATGGGCAGTACATAAAAAGGAAATGACCAAATCTGTCAATAATACCATGCTTGCAGTTTTTCATTTTCACTATACTAAGGGCAATCAGTATGTGCCTGCAGCCTTGAGGGTTTTCAGTCATAAGATCAGTGCTAAACTGATGTATGGGGTTCCATTCTGGGTTTTGGCTATTAATAAAGACAAGTAAGGAGACCCGCGATACTTGTGGGGGGGGGAGAAGAGCTCCGTCTCCTCCATCCCCCCCGCTCGATCTCCCCGAGGCAGCGGCGAGGCCAGTCCTCCCCCCCTGTAAGAGGACTCGCGATACTCGCGGGGGGGGGGAGAAGAGCTCCGTCTCCTCCATCCCCCCCTCTCGATCTCCCCGAGGCGGCGGCGAGGCCAGTGCTCCCCCCCAGCCCGGCTTCGAGGTGGTGGCGGCGGCGGCGAGGCTGGTCCTCCCCCCTGGCCGGCTCCGAGGCAGCGACGGCGAGGCCGGTCCTCCCCCCCGCCCGGCTTCGAGGCGGCGGCGAGGCCGGTCTTTCCCTCCCGCCCGGCTCCGAGGTGGCGGCGGCGAGGCCGATCCTCCCCCCGCCCAGCTCCGCAGCGGCGGCGAGGCCAGTTACAGAGCGTTCCCTGCGCATGCACAGGGGACGCTCTGTCACTTTTGGGGGGATTTAAGTATCCCCCCGACTTTTAAAAAAACTTTTTAGATTTTTGCGCACACCTGGGGACCACCCCTCGTGTGCACAAAACTCTCCCTCCCCCCCAAGTGCCCCCTCTGTGCTGATTTAGATATCCGCACAGAGGGGGCTACTTCGGTATTAGATATATAGATATAGAAAAAGTCCAATCTAAATTTTTACGGAAAATATTAGGCCTTCCCCTATACGTGTCCTGTGTGGCAATCTGTTTGGAGACTAATCAGAGTCTTTTGGAAATGAAAGTTTGGATTATGACATTTAAATTTTGGCTCAGGTTACGTTTTAGAGCTAATTTCAATCCTTTTATTTCACAAATGCTTACCGAGTCCTCATCCTCGGCATGGTTTCTCCATATAGAGAGTAAAATCATGCGTATAGGAGTTAGTTTTGGAGAACTTCATTTGTCAGAAAGTTCAGCCTTTCGCTTGATTAAACAAAGACTCCTCGATACAGAATGCCAAGAGCTGATTAGCCTGGCTTCAGGTAGATGCTCTCCCTTGAAGGTAGGGTTTCCTCCCCAAGGGTTTATAGCAGAGTATTTTTTCTGTTTAACCTCCTCATTATCGAAGAGCTTTTATGTTAGGCCATTTTAATATGCTGCCTTCAGCTGTACTGGGTGGTAGGTTCTCTAGGACTCCTTATGTGAATAGATTATGTCCTTGTGGTATTAATGAAATTGAGAGTCTGTATCATATCCTATTGCACTGTATCTTCTATCATGATGTTTGATCATTCTATCTCAAGTCTTTGTTGAGAAACCTAGTAAATCATTCTGATGAATGCAAGATATTTTATTTACTCTCTACTTGCTCCTTAGTGATTATGGAAATGGTGGCCAAATTTCTGTTTTCAGCTTACAAGAGGAGGGAATGTATCATTAAGTGCATATGACTTTTGTATTTCCTTGCCTGTCAGTTTTAATACGATATGCCAATAAAGGTTTGATTGATTGATAATCATTATTTCTCAATCAATAAGTAATGTGTTCACATGATAAAGGAGCTCTGGCTAGGATAGCTGATCTGTGACATTTCTTTCCCATGCCTAAGCTATCATCCAGATATTATGTGATGGACTCAACAGTGTGAATCAGCTCTATGACTATTCTCTACCTCCTTCAACGGACAATTTTTGTCCTCACCAACGCATTGTATACAATGACTCTACTTTGCATAGACTCTCTGGCATGCATTATACTGTCAAGGAGGCAATGAAGTCTCTGTACCTTTTGTCAGTTCATCCACCTTTTTAATATCAAAAGGACAGCCTGTGCAATTCTGCCCCTTCTTCTCTCCAGTCCTCCAAGCCTTGCATTGAACACAGCTGCGAATCTCTTCACATACATGCTGAAAGCCCTGTTCAACAGAAGAAGGCATCTGATCAAAGAAGCACAGCACAAGGATAGAAGATGATAGAATGCTTTACCCCAGCAAGTTGAATCCCCAGCTGATGCTCCAACTTTGTGGCGTCCCTTCCGCAAAAGGGCATTTATTTCAGAGAGATTTTTCTTGATTTTGGATCCAATGCTCCCCATATGTTTTACACTTCCTTTGAAAAGGGGCTGTGCAGCTGTGTCATCTTGCACTTTGTCAGTGATGGACCGTCTTTTTTTGCACATATACAGTAACGTTATAACATCATAACATTGTTAAAAAAAAGGCTGGATGTATCGCAGGGAACAGTATGGTTGCCACCATGGCCAGCAGTTGCCAAACCGAGTACACCAATTCGTAGCAGTGTTATTCCATAATTATGAAGCACACTAAATGTGTCTTTATGTACTTCCTCAATGATGGAACCTTCTTTTTTGTGCATGTGCAGTAATGTTATAACATCATAACATTGTAAAAAAAAAAAGCCTGTATGTATTGTGGGGAACAACACGGTTGCTATCTTTTCAACTACAAAACTGGCCAGCAAAGGTTCCCTCAAAATCCTAATGAAAATAGTATTCTGTTTCCAGTAGTTGAACTAGATACACCAATTCATAACAGTGTTATTCAATCATTATGAAGCATGCTAAATAGAAACACTACACATGTTGAGTTTCCATGATAATCAGATCAGTTATATAATTCCATTATTTTCAGGTGCTTGAAAGACGGAATTGTTATTGAAAACACAGCGGGAGCCACGGGGGGGGGGGGGGTGTGAGAATGAAGAAGCAATACAAGAACAAGGAGACAAAACCTACCAATAAAGGGGGGGAAAGGAAAGAAAAGAAAGTTCATGGATGGGTAATTGCATGGAGAAAGCTACATTAAACCTGATTGCTCATTTTGTCCCTGCGTTATAATGCAGCAATATTATTAAGTCTTTAAAAACTCGGCTTTGTAAAGCAATCAAAACTATGCATTTAAAAAAACAGTGTTGTCATGGGCTGTGGCGAGGGGGAGCTGACGGCTTTAGCAGAACCCACACCTGGCCCCGCTGAAGTGCCAGAAACTGACAGTTTGCTGTCACCGCCCACATCAGTAACAGCTGACGAGAAACAACTACCAGCAGACAGTCCCCCCCCACTCGCCTCCGCGGGTTGCTCACTTAAGGGACTGACTCCGCCAGGACTTGGCGTCTCGGTGGCGGGAAGTTCGCTTGCAGGGTAGATGGTCCTTCAGCCCTGAGTTTTAACAGATGCTTGACCGCTCACACCGAGCACTAATTGGAAACAGCAGCACAGGGGTATTTAGCTCCCCGCTTTAGGCCAGCTTCTTTGTGGAAGCAACTAGTTGATCTCGCAACGCTCTTGCACCCACCTCGTCCTAGTTTCCGGACTCCACCCCTGCTCTGAACTCTCGGCTTTCTGACCTCGGCTCTGAATGACTCCGCTCCTGGTTTGTGTGTTGGACTTTCGCTATCTGCTCCTGCTCTACTCCTGCTCGGCTTCGATCTCGGACTGAACTCAGACTCCCTCCGCCTGTGCCCCAGCCCCTGACAAGTGTGTTGTTTGGGGGACTTGGGGGTGGGGGCAGGGTGTACACATGACACTGATGCCACAATAGGGTGGCGGGGAACAAAATTCAGTTTCGGGAATTCCAGAATTGAAAACTGCGAGTTAATACCCCAAGGGGGAAAAATTGTGGAAAAAGTGGATCCCGAAAACACAGGGCAGTAAATTCAGAGCGACTCCTGGAGCATCCAAAAATTGTGTTGAAAGTTTTACAAATGTTGCTGATTTAAGAATGCCGATATGGCAGTTTGCACATGTGCAGAAATGGTCTGAGTTACAGAGCAGGGCCTTGTGACTGAAGGCCTTTGTGTAGCATAATTGTCTTCTACTGCATACATAGGGTTAAGAGCCAGTAGGCCTACAGAAAAACATCCTTTCATGTGGAGGCTTAATGTATAAAAATGAACAGCTGAAGCTTTTCATGGCTTGGAGATACATAACATCACTTAGTAAACACCCCTTTTATTTATTTATTTTTCATTAATTAAGTCATTCAATTTATAACCCTCATCCTCTCCTCAAGCCTCTGTTCAAGGGATCGGACATTTTTCTCCAGGCTCCAAACTATTAAATGCTAAAGTTTCCGGGCAGATGCTATATGCCGCAGGGTCCTGGATCACTGCAGTAACAGTGCAGTAACAATATCAACAGACCTCTATTAATATTCCTACACAATATTCTGGGAACACCTCAGTGTGTGTCTGGAATAGGCCTAAGAGCTGAACTTGGGGAGATGTCTTATGAAGCAAAGGCCCGGGGAAGAGCATTCAATTTGAAAATTAGGACTCTAAAATCAAACCCAGATCTAAATCTCCTCAGACTAGTCAAACTGGACCACCACACAAGTGGTTGGGACAGATTACTGGACCATAAACTATTATGTCTGGGTATCACCTATGACATGATAGAAGTCACGAGAAGCCAAGAACTGTCACAGCACATTAGTTTGAAAGACTTTGACTACAAGAGCACATCGATTAGAGCCCGCAAAGTGTGCTCAACCTTTTCAGTAGGCATTCAGCCTCCAACAACAATGCCAAATTACTTATCTGAGATAATCCTTCCAAAGTATAGAAGGGCATTCATGCTAGCGCACCTGAATGCCCTACCTTCAGCTCTGATATCAGGAAGATTTAATGGGATTTCATACTCAGATTGACTCTGTAATTGCGGCAGCAGTAAAATTGACTCTGTGGATTATTTTTTTGCTTGATTGTCCCAAATTTTCAGTTCTAAAAGATGAACTGATCTCCCCTTTATTTAATCAGGACTTCCGGCCTCCAGAAGCAAAACTATCCTGGTTACTTAGAGATGAAGACAAACTACTTTGCATGTGGCAAAATTCTAGCAGCTGTTGTCAAATCACACGACAACTTTTGTAGTAGCAACCTTTAAATTCTTCCATGTTTTCCTGTGGAATGAGGTTTATTGTGGGATGAGGGTTTGCTGTTCATGACTCTGGTTGCAAAAATAGTAAAGACAATGAATGAATGAATGAATGAATGAATGAATGAATGAATATTTTCCAGACTTCTATAGAAGCCACTGACAACCCTACATGCCTACCTTGCTTCTTGCACTATGTTCCTTTAAAATGCATTTGTGAGGCAAAGCACACCTGACCCCCCCCCCAAAGTGTTAATGTGAATGGTAATGGGCTTCTTCCATCCTGCAGTCTCTCTGTCTACACAGTGCTTATCATCTTCAAGGCCAGAGCAGGAAATGTGGTAATTAGCTTCTCATGAGAACCTGTGGCCTGGGGAGGAATCAGGAGTGATGAGGTAATTTTCTAGAGGGTTCCAGCAAGAACGTGTCCTGATTGGGTGTCATCATCACCTGATACTGCTTGGCTAAAAAACTGAGTTAAGAGCCTGGGAAAAGAGGTTAGCTTGGACTCTGATGGACTGAAGGCCTGGACTATGATATGCTTATACTGCGATAGACAGAAGCATAGAGAACACATCAACTGTAGCCTTTGACTCTTGGGCTGCAGTCAGATGGGAGGTTAGAACTGGCTTCATTGCTGTTGCCCTATGGATTTAAAATTCAGGTTCAGACTCCATCCCCCAGCTGTTTGCACTCCGTACTCACCCATCTTGGAGCTGGAGTTTTTAGCCACCGGGGAAAGTCCGATCTTAACAGACATCAGCATTGTCACCCCATACTTCTGAATGTCTGATCGTGCTGTTGCACGCTCCAGCCGGTTGGGAAGTAAGTCTTCCAGTTTCTGGCCGCCATTTTTTTCTTCTATGAAGTGATGTGTGCTTAACTGCATATTTGCCCCTGGTGGTTGAACAGTTCTGTGCATGCGCATGAAGATCTTTACAGATGATGAAGCTGCTTGACCCAACCACCCCTAGCGACCACGCAGCTAACGTCTGATCAGTTGTGTTGTGGGCCAGCCTGCTTTAGCTGAGGATCACTCAGCTGATCCTGATAACATCCCCATCAGCATCTCTGAGACTCAACCAGCTGATGCTGTCAATGACCATGAGGTGGCAGAGGCAGGTCCTAGCACCCCAGTTGCTGAGGACAGGATGTACTCCAGCCCCATGAGCACTGGAAACATGGAAGAGGCAACCCCGAGAAGCAGCACCTCAACAACTCAAGATCTTGGGGAGACTTCACAGGCTACCTCACCTCCCCTTTCCCCAGAACCAGGGGAATGCAGGAGGAGGCGGGCACACTTTGAGCTCCTTGAAGGGAGGCGGAGCATGTGCCTCGCTGCCCGGTGACTACCAAATCAAGAAAAACACCTGGGGTTAATGGCTCTCTCACAAGCAATGAGACTCAGCTGTGAGCCACCGATAAGGGACAGGGCTTCAGATGGGGTAGGTGTGGGAGCAACTCATCACCTTTCTGGAGTCATGCGACCATACCACCCAGACCTGTTCCTGTCTGCAACTCCTGAACCTTTGGCTTCAACCCCTGACCTACTTGACTATGCCTTTTGGACCTGCTCAGACTCTGCTTCTGGGACCCTCAGCTGGCTTCCATTGTGTTTGACTCTTGGATTGAACTCTCAACTTTGCACTTTTGGTTAGTGATTTTGTCTCATCCCCTTGGTCTCGGCCGAGTTTGCTCTGACCCAGGAGACGTTGACCCCATGGTGAGTAGAGGGTGAGGGTGGGGTGTCTAGTGGCTATTCTCCAGAACAAATAGTTCAAGAGAACTTAGAGGCGCGGCCAGATTGTGCCAAGCCTATAGTCTGACTGCAGCCTTGGACTTAAGGTTCGTGAACACAGGTCCTGGAAATCTTTTAGATAGTTAAGCTAGTTCTCTTGTTTTTTGCTGCATGATTTTACAGTGTTGTGTAGCCTGTAGTTTATACCTTTTGTTTTGACAGAAATGTATTAGAACTTCATATAATTTTTAAAATAATGAAAGGTTTGGATTACTTGTGTACAACAGCCCTGGGAATCCATGGGGTTCATCCTTGAACACCTTGGCACCTCCCATTGAAAATAACACTAACACATGAAGCTGCCTTATACTAGGTCAGATTGGTGGTCTTTGTAGTCTGAGTGGCAGTGGCTGTCCAGGCTCTGAGGTAGGCTTTTCACATTACCTACTATATCCCAACTGGAAATACCAGGGACTGAAACCTGGGACCTTCTGTCTGCAAATCAGATGCCACTAGCATTGAGCCACAACACCTTTCTAGGGAAGAAAACCAAGAATATTGGCGACTAAATATAAGATCAAAAATGGCCACCAGTTTGGCCTTTTAGCTTACCAAGGAGTAGCTGACTTCACAAGTGGGTCCAACAAAGAGGGAAGGGTTCTCACAGATGCATCTGCCACATTCACAAATCCCACGTCCATTACAAATCATCTGCAAGAGACAGGGGCAACTATTTATGCTCCTTCTTGTAGTTTATGAGTTATCCTAAGATTTTTTAAAAATGGAATTTGTACTTTTGGCCTTGTTTCCAAGAAGAACATTAAAAATGAAGAAGAGAGCTCCAGGACAGAGAAGGGCTCTTTCCTTACACCTATGTTTAAACAGGCAATGAATGAATATTTCACAAAAAGACCCTTTAAAGATTTTTAATTGCACATAAAATGGGATGGGAATATTGATTACTATTTTTCTGAAACTTGGCTGGAGAATCCATTCAACAGGGGTACAAAAATTTACAGTCATAATTGTGTTTCCCATTAAGCCAATGGAAACAAATAATATAATAAAAAACATGAACGACAATGTGTGCAGGTGTGTAAAGTGCCATCAGATCCCAGTCAACTTATGGTGACCCCATAGGGTTTTCAAGGCAAGTGATTAAGCAGAGGTGATTTGCCATTCCTTGGTGTTTCCCCTTCCAAGTACCGACCCTGCTTAGCTTCCGAGATCTGACGAAATCAGGCCATACGATACCATTCCACATCCTCAAACAATAACACACAGAGAAATTTTGTAAAGACCAAGAGAAAGTGATTTTTTTTTTAAAAAAAAAAATGTGCACATCCTCATTCATGGACCCTTGTTGCCTGTGACTATAGATTACTAAGGAGTAGAAAATTACTTACCCCATTGCTGGTGAGGCAGGTCTCATTGCTTGTGCGACACTCACAGCCTGGGCCTTGCCAACCATTTTCACATACACACTGGCCCATGTAGCAGCGACCACGATCTGCACAGAGAAAGAAAACAGGAACAGAGATTCTGAGTGCTAGAATGTATGTATCTTCCAAACAAAGGTGTGTGTGTGTTCAGTGCCATCAAGTCACTTCTGACTTATGGTGACCCCATGAAGTTATGTCCTCTGAAACGTCCTATAATTAACAGCCTTGCAAACTGAGGGCTATGGAATCCTTGAGTGAATCAATCCATCTCACATTGGATCTTCTTCTTTTCTTGCTGCCTTCAGCTTTTCCTAGCATTACTGTCTTTTCCAGTGAGTCTTGTCTCCTCATAAACCCCCGTAGGGGAGGTGTTAGCTGGCAAATGGAATGTCCAGCTAGGAAGCTCGGAAGCCTGGAAAAAAGACCTCTTCGGCATTAAGAAGCCTGTGATGGGCCATTCCGGCCAGGCTGTGGCAGTGCGGCGCAACGACTCAAAGCAGTCCTGGAAGAACCAACGTCATCAAGCCAAGCCAAAGTGAATGCCATCCGGAACACATCTGAAGCCTACAGCTGAACAAAATCCCCGTCGGCTGCAAACGTGTGCGATTTAAAGAATTTCATGTTGTCCTCCAAACTACAATAGCCTCGACTTGATCATTTAACTTCTAGGGAGAGTTCAAGCTTGACTTGCTCTAGATCCGTTCATTTTCTGTGTGGGTATTTTTCTTCACTTGCTAGCCATGGGGAATAGCAATCACAGTCGCTGCGGTCAGACATGCCAGTTGGTGTGGAGGGGAAGCGCCCCTATTTCCTCCGGTGGAATTTGACTCACAGTCACGCGTTCACACATCCCTTTGTGCTGTGGGCTCAGCCCGTCACTGCGCAATCAGACACCACCTCGGGCGAGTGGGGGTTTTTGCCTTTGGTTTCCCATGTGCATAAACGAGGAATCACACCTCTGCACCTAGGGTTCCCCATGGAATCTGTGGTTATGCGCATACTGCTAAGCCAGGGGGGGAAAGGCACCGAGTCGGGATGGAATGAGCAGACAAGCCTGACAGTTTGAGTGCGTGCTTGAATGACCAGACAGGGGAAAGTCCGTCTGTGGCATGCTGGCAAGCATTAAGACCGAACATGTGGTAAAGCAGCATGGGGTGCCGATGATTGCAGGACCTTTCCCAGATGTTGCTGTCTGATCGTGCCTTTTAGATCCGTCAGGCATTTGCAGCTGAGTCGGATCTAAAGGCACGTCTAACTGCAGCCAGTGTAAACTTACTTACTTATGTCAACCTAGGATTCAGGAGACCCTGGCTCCGATCATCATGCGACCTTCGGCCAGTCATTTTCTCTTAGGCTAATATACTTCACAGGGTTACTGGGAAGTTAAAATGAAGGATGGGAAAACCACGTGTTACACCCTGAACTCCATGAAGGAAGAGCAGGATAAAAATGTAATAAATAAATTACTGTAAGTGTAATATCATGGATGGGCTGATAAAGCGAGGATGACAAACATCACTAGCATGGCCTGCAGGAGCATGCATTTCTTGGTTCTATCCCAGGGCCCCCCAGTGTAGCAGCTGTGGGCACGATGACCCCTGAAAATACCCTTCCTGGTGCCTACCAAGTGCTTTTAGAAAGCAGGCAGGGGCTGGAGCTGATGCGGCTTTTGGCTCAGCAGGGCTTTGGATTGACCATTGGCATTATACACCACTGAGTTCCTCTCCTCCCCAAATCCCAACTTCACTAGGCTCCACCTCCAAATCTCCAGGAATTTCTCTACCCAGGTTGGCAAACCAACTGGAGACCTTGTACTAGACTAAATTCATATGAGCCCTTTAAAATTATTTTCAAATGTTTCTGTTTGTTATGAGGAATTTCCATTCGTTTCTTTGAAGCGCTTGCTGAAATGTGGTAGTCCTTTTTTGCAACAAAGCCTGACTTCAGCCCTGGATTCAAAGTGACAAACTCTGAGGAAACAGTGGTCACTGACAGAAGAACTGTCACCACAGGCACTATCATGATGGTAGCAGGTGTGGGCAGACCACCCTGAGGTCCGTTCCTTTATCAACATGAGGACGTCCTCCTGAATCTCCAGTTGTGAAGACGAACACAGCAAGTGAAGAAGTTTATCTTTCAAAAGAACTGTAAACCAGGGGTGTCAAACATGAGGCCTGGGGGCCGGAATCAGCCCATACAGGGCTCTTCTGTGGCCCGTAAGCAACTGGTGCAAGGGAGGGAGCACTGGGGGGAGTGGGCGGAGCCACTCCAATTGTAGCTTCAGCACGGCTGAACAACCTTGTCTGCAGTAATCAAGCATTGTGGGAGCATCTTCCCAGTGCTGCACCGCTTGTCTCTCCAGTCTGCCTATGTGGGTTTTCCTCTACGTCCCCCTTCCCAGCCCATGGGGCCTTGCAGTGAGGATACACCAACTCAGAGCTTACCAGTTGCTGTCCTTTATGCAGTTTGTATCTCCGGTACCTGACATTACGTTTTATGGCACACATGACCCAGCCCGACAAAGTGACATTTATGTCAGATCCGGCCCTCGTAACAAATTAGCTTGACACCTCTGCTGTAAACAGTTAGGTTGCCATTGGTAAAGTCTCACTCACCATTGCAGAGGAACCCAGAAGTGCGGGGACACTGGAAGTTGTCATATTCACAATATGTACCCTCAAAACGCTGGGTCAGGTCCTCTGAATAGCACTGACATTTCCCACATAGGCACTCGCCTCGGCCAGAGCAGGGCTCTTCTTCCCCTGGCCGTATGCAGGCTGCATTGTCAGTAGAAGACGATGTAGAGCAGTTACACGTGTCTCCCCGCCTGGCATGGAAAAAGGCAGTAAAGAATAAGAGAGGCCTATAAATGACATCTTGAGAAGGTGAAAGTATGATAATTGGGGGGGGGGGCTGCAAATCACAACAGATGGAACGTTTAGGCTGTGTGCCTGTGGGTGGCGCCAGTCTTCCGTTCTGATCTTTATTGTATTTGTACGGCATAGATTGGAAGGCACTTTATAAATAATAAATACAATTGTGAGCCTGTAAACAAATATGGTCTCATAGTCAGTTCTATGGGAAAGACAGGGCTTAGTTGCCCTTTGTACTAAAGAGACCATGGAGGTGTAGAGATTTGGTTGCGGAAACAAGCATAGCTGAGAGACTCCTGAATAAAAACTTCCATGGGACTTTTTTAGCTTTACCGTGGTTAGAGCCCTTAAAAGCTTGTCAGCTCGGGGTGGGGTGGGGTGGAGAGACCTTACAGCATGTGTCCCTCCAATGCTAATTTCCACATCTAAGATATTTAATCTGTTAAAGCTCTGAGCAGGCTAATCCCCCCCACACACATATTTTCCCTTTAAAATATCAGCACTCAACTGCCTTTGCATTCTGTGACTACTGGAGGGCAATAAGCAAGCTCAATCCTGACTGGGCCAATATTCGGTTGTTCTTTTTTAAAAAAATTATAAACAAATATTTTTGTCTAGATAGTGACTCCTGCAAGGGTACAGAAACTCCTGTCGTATCTGTGGATGAATCCTTTTCTCTCCCCTACTGATAAGTCTTGGATCATCAAGACTGGTATAATACTTACCAGCCTAAATGGCAAACACACTGTCCGCAGACAAAGTCTCCATGGAAATCACACCTAGCTGATGTGAGTTCCTTTTGCTGCAAAGAAGAAAGGAGATGGTGCTGATGCTCATGCCAAGGGTTTTAGGTTTAACCATGTATCCTTTAGAGACAGAATGGCAGCTTCTACATTTCCTTCTATATACAAATTTAAGAGGTCATACTAGGACCACACTTCCTATATGTATACATATCATTTTTGAGACTCTCTAACCAAACAGGAGCCAGAGAAAGTACCTGTTCACAAGGGCAGGCATCACAGATGACTGAGGCTTCAATCTCTAATTTGTTGCTGAAAGAAGAGGGTTTCAAGTGGATAAAACCCTTCCGGTCTTTCTCTGGGAGATCACAGACTTGTTCTCCACCCACATGCTCATGAGCTTTCACACGCACATCAAATGTGCCCTAGATGGAACAGAGAAAATTTGTTCATTTTGCTGGGATTATCACAAGAGACAAATGCCACTTTAGCCAGTGATTTAAGATCCTACTAGTACTCCACTCAGCTAGCCCAAAGAGGCTGTGAATTAGCTTAAGCACCATGAAGTTCAGAATATGTTTCTCTCTCTGGGGACCTGATGTGGAGTAACAGATCTGCTACCCTGTAGACTCTCTTTGTCTCTACCTGCGTTCAACTTGTATATTTGTAAATAAAACAAGTACTACAAAAATGTCCTAAGTTCAGTGCTCTCTCCTCTAAAAGAGACCAGCCCAGGAAGTGCCACCTCTATAATTTTTTGCCTCCTGGTGAAGTGTGAAGCTCGTAACAATATGCCCCCAAAGCTGCATTGCAATGGCTATCTCCATCATCCACTTATCCATGGATAAACGGGGAAAAGAAAGGATACAGACGTGGATTCTAATCCAGAGTTAGCAGCAAGTGGCCAGGCTTGAACTGGGCATTTAATTTACAGGGAAATTTCATAGTGGGTTACGGCCCTAGAGGACACTGGCAACAAAGGGCAAACAGACCCTATCCACACAACTCCACCAGTGCCTAAGGAGCTACTTGTCTTGGACACTTCAGTGGCAAAGGTAAGCACTGTCAGCTCACTAGTTTCATCCTCCTCCTGCACTTCCACCAGTTACCAGCAGTGAGTCTGCATACAATGAACTAATGCCTATTGTTGACCCAAGAGGCCCCTGTAGCACTGGACAGAAGGGGTTCCTGAACTTGCTCCAGAGCCATTTTAACTGCCCAGACAACCCCTGTAAACGGCATCCCCTTTCTATACTTATTATGACAAGGGTGTGACCAAACTTTCAGGTTTATTTTTGCCTTTTCTTGCAGCCATATGCTGTACAGGATCACAGACAGCCTCCCTCATCCTTCCCCCCACAAATTTACATACGTTAATATAGAAAGTATTTGGGGCATATCTCTTGTGCAAGAGTTTTTTTTCATTCTTGGGCTACAAAGCACTCCAGGAATGCATACGTATTAGTTGTAAAGGCTTACCACTTCCCCTCGGACAACCTGGAATGAGCCAGATTCTGTTTTTTCATACTTCATGGAAGTTATTTCTGTTTTCAAGGCTTTGGGGGTATAGTCAGCACGAATATCCATCTTGGAACGGATACGCTAGGAAGAGGAAAGGGGGAAGGAAAAAAATCAATAGAACTGACAGTGATCCAATTCAGTATCCCCCAGGTAGCAGGCAAGACATTTTACCTTATGTTTATTTGAGGACTGTTGCCAAGCAGTTGCAGCCGCTTCATAAGGCATTTTCAAAGACTCTTAACTATGACTGCAAAGCTGAACTGTGACATAAGTATATTAAGGCAATGGACAGAACTGTAGCCGTGAAGCAATGCCCTTATACTGGACTGAAGGCATGTGTTCTAGCCAAGGGGAACCTTGCGATTGAGTAGCATGCCCAATCAGATGTGTACCCTTGGACTACAAGATGCCTCTTGCTCCTGCATCTCTGCAGCTGTGCCAGAAGGCAGCCCAGCAGCCCTGACCCCTAAAATGCACAAAACCTGCAGCGGATCACAAAGGAAAGCCATGATTTGCAAATAAGCCAGGAGATTCCTGCACAGACACCATGAATAACTCCCTTCTACCCCACGCAGGCATCCCCCCCACCCTCACGTATTAACATCACCAGGTGAAGCACATATACCTCTTCAGCCTAAAACAAAAGGATGTGCCCTATGATGGATTAACGAGCTATCACGTCTTCCAGCTGCTCATCAAGATAGCACAGCTGTTAAGCATCCAGCTGTTAAGCCCAAGTACCAGCCATCCAGCATGAATATGTCACCCTTCTTTCTCTCTTTTGTCTAAACCCTTCCCCATAAGAGGTGCCACTGTTAGCCAAGCCATTGTTTCAATTGCCCAATGATGAATCCCTTTTTCTGACCCATTAACAGTTTAAGTTTCTCAATATTTCTTGGGGACCAGGTGACAAGAAAGGCACTAGCCTCGGGTTACATTTAAGGTATAAAAAGATAGTATCTAGCCATTTCTTGCTCGCTCGCTTTTACCTTCCCTAACCCCACCCTATCTTGCTGGTTCCATTCTTAGCAGTGTTTGGAAATTCCCACATGTGTTGCTGGCCAACTCACGATCCCTTCCCATACTTTTATCCCTTTTTTGCTGCAGAGTCAACTTGCCTTGTCACCCTACCAACGATACTTCCTGCTAATGCAAACATCTCTGTACTTTTCTATCTGAATTCTTGGATATGTGTTGATTTTATATTTGTATGTGTGGGAATCCTTTACTAAAGAAAGCACTGCTTTAGTAATTCATAATTCCCCAAATTTATTAATAAATTAAGACAATTTGGCTAACAGGACATCTGATCCCTCTACATACAGAGCCAGTTTGGTGTAGTGGTTAAGTGCGCAGACTCTAATCTGGGAGAACCGGGTTTGATTCCCCACTCCTCCACTTGCACCTGGCTGGATGACCTTGGGCAAATTCTGATAAGAGCTGTTCTTGAAAAAAGAGCAGTTTCTGTCAGGGCTCTCTCAGCCCCACCTACCTCACAGGCAATGTTCCCTCTAAGCTGTGGAGTCTTGTGAGCAAAAATTCTACTTTGTGAGCTACAGGCATGAAAGTTGTGAGCAGGTGATTTGGCTACTGCATCAATTAGAGTGCTCTGGAGCCCTCCTTCCTGAGCTAAGAGAAAAATGTGTGAGCTGGAGGCTAAAAAACTGTGAGCTAGCTCACACCAACTCACCTTAGAGGGAACACTGCTCACAGGGTGTCTGTTGTGGGGAGGGGAAGGGAAAGGAGTTCGTAAGCCGCTCTGAGACACCTTTGGGTAGTGAAGGGCGGGGTATAAATCCAATCTCCTCCTCCTCCTCCTTCTACATAACTGAGTGTAAAGAAAGGAGCTAAATGGTGGCAGCTCCAGATTTGGACCTTACAGTGAAAATTGATTGGTCTAGTAACTCTACTAAAATCATTCCACAACAGTTGTGTGAATGCCAAGTATTCTGGGTCACACAGAGCAGTCTCTCTGACATTTGTCTTATATAGCAGAATAGACCAGGGTTTTTTTTCCTGGGGGAACACACCGGAACGGAATTCTGGAACCTCTTCAACAAATTCTTTTACAAATATTTAAAAGCTCATGAGTTTTCAATACACAGATTGAAAACTTCATTTCCCTCTTGAGAATTCCAGCACCTCTTTAAAAAAAAAAAAACAACCCTTGGAATAAGCCCTATAATAATTGTCATAATTGTCTTCTTACCTCAAAAGCCATACGGATTAACTCAACAATATTGGAGGAATCTTCTTGCAGTCTTCCAATTTCAGAGATTGGGAAATACTTGTGCAGCTTCTACAGGGGAAAAAGGTAGTCAATAAACTAAATATTTGAGTTGCATTAGACCACTCAATGGATACTGGAGAGGGCAGCAAAGGAACAAAGATAAAAGTCCTATGTGCACAGTAAATGAGAAGTACCCTTATCTTGTTATTGTAGATAGAGAGTACAAGAAAAAGTCAATTCTGACTATGTTCCATTTATTTCAATGAGTTTTAGTTGTAACTAGTTTTCATTGGCCTATATCCATTTACTGAAATCTGGCAACATCTCCCACCATTCTTATCACTATACGAACCTCCATGAAAGAGGGACTCCTCAGCAGATCTTAATGAGTAGATATATGTATGGGAAGAGGCCATTTGTATGCAGTGGGAAGTATGAGAAGAGGCCATTTCTATGTGACTGTCCATGAAGGGTTTATCAACTGGCTCCAGCAATAGAATAGGAAGCTTCCAGGCAGCCAGTACACTTGTCATAACACCAGTGGAACAGGGTCCTGCAGTAAATGGACTGTAGCAGTCTATACCAATTGCAATACTTTTGTCAGGATTCTGTCTGCAATTAGTGAGCTAACCACTGGGTGGCCCCATTATAATGCAAAAATTAATTGCCCAGAGGCGCAGGGCATGGATTTACCAAGTAATTTGGTGAGGATATACCCAAAGGCCACCTGTTTCTGCCCCATTTACTGAGTCACAGGGGTTTTCTCCACATATGACTTATTCCTGCTTACTGCAGCAGTCAATCCACAAGCATTAAGCATAGGGGTTCTGGACATTTCCCCATCCTTGGCATTTTTCCAATTGCTACACCAGATTATTTTCTTACAGACATGCCTAAAAAAATCAGGAATGGAGGTGCTGTTTTCATTTATGAGGTCACAGAACCAAACCCCTTTTTACTTTTTTTGTTGGACATGTACTTTATCAATATACCAATGTACTCCTAGAAGAGGAGCCAGTCATGTGCACATGTGAGGATTGCCATATTGTCCTTGTGGAAAAATGCTCTCCACCAAAAAGTTCATCCCAATATTTAGAAACTTGGAGCTGCAAAATGGTTTTTAAAGTTTTCCTGTTGACAAATAGCAGGCAAATGGAGAGGAACTGATTGCTTCCTCATCTAGTCAATTGCTTTCAAGTGAACCCTACTTAATGTTTAGTCATATAAATGTCTCTAGACAGCTGAGAACAATGAAATGCGCCAGCAGGGATGCTTTGTGACAGTCTTCACCAGAATTTAAAGCAATAACAGATACCCCCCAAATCAAATCCCCACAAAAAATAAACATAGAAAGGGGAGGGCTGGATCTCAAGGCACAGGCATGTCATATAGCAATATAACACTGTCAGGGAGTACTTAAAAATCAAAGATTTGCTTACATAATTGCACAGGTGTGGTGTATCAAGTCCTGACAAGCCCAGACAAGCCCAGAGACAAACGTCAAGCTTCGCTCCAAGAGACAATGGACTATGCGGATCCTAGCCCGCTCCAATCAGGGGGCTGGGTTCCTGGCCAAGAGCCAATGGGACTCTCGGCCACTGTAAATAACCTACCGGGAAGTGGGGGAGTGTTTTGGGTGGCGGTTTCTCTGGGAATATAAGCTGGCCTGCGAGCCGGCCAAAGTCGTCTTGTTCCTGATCGAATAAAGTACGCTTTGCTGTAATCACTCTCCGTCTGCGTACTTTTCAACATGCAAGGAAAATATCCTTCTTCCAATGGGTGAAATTGGGGGGAGGCATATAATGAGTGACAAGGACAAGGAGTGAAGTCTGAGTGGCTAGAGAGAGAGCAAAGAGCACGCCTGTACCTTCTGCAAGTGCAAGGAAGCAACTGGCTGTAGCAAAAAACAACAACACCCCACCTCCAGAGCAGAGAAAAATAAAGGTACCCATTGCTGCAAGCACCTGGGAAGAGCAATGATTGCTCCTATGCCACCTTATAGAGATATCAAGAGATAGTAAAATACAATACAATAATAATAATAATAATAATAATAATAATAATAATAATAATAATAGAAAAATTGCCAAAAACAAGGGATTGAAATTCCTCATTACCGAGGTGGGAGAGAGGACAGGGCAGGTTTGTCCCACACTCACAGTTACTGCAGCAGTGGGAACTGAGTGGGAAGAACCAACAACAGCCCAGGAACCATTCCACATGCAAACAAATGCAGCTCAAATTCAATTGCTAGAAAAAGATCAGGTTAAAAAGGAACCAGGGCTCTTTTCCCAAACAACAGAAGAATTGATTTCCTTAATGCTTATAGCAGCTAAAACATTATTAGCTCAGGTTTGGAAATTAGAAAAAAATCCAACTGTAAAACAATGGTTTACGAAGTTATGGGACACTGTGATTATGGACAAAATAGCAACGCAACTACTGAAGACAGAACATCCTCACAAGACATCAAAGATTTTTAGAAAAGTGGTTTGTGTTTTTTGACTATGTAAACAATGTAAAAGATGGGATTTCTGCACTACCTACTAAATACGTTGATTTTGTATTGTATTAACTGTTGTCTATTGTATGGATATTGGAAAAATGTTGTAAAAATAAAGTTATTTTTAAAAGGAACCACGGAAAACAGGGGGAAATGTGAGGTGAGAACTAATGGATCCAGATAATGTTCAGAAGACAGGGGATAAACTGAAGTAATATGGGGCCACAACTGATGCGATATTGCTGTGCCGAAAATCCTACACATTCCTGAAAGATTAGCCTATATCATCCATATCATAAGGTTTCACAGAGAACAGGAAAACCAAACTGAACTACAGAATAATGTTTCTAGGAAAAAGAACACATTTAGGATCACAGTTGATGAGCTACTAGGTGATTGATGATTGGATCTTCCTAGTTTTTTTTTAAAGAACAAACTGCAGCATCATGTGGCTCTAGTTCAAATTGAGGCCACACAAGGAGGTGAGAGGAGATTTGATCCTTCAACCCAGTTTTGCCTATCAAAACTATCCTCCATTCTGAGCTATTATTAGCATGGGAAAGGAAAAATTACAGATGCCTGTTTTTTCCCCTTCAATGTAAGTAATAATGCAGGGGAAATGGTTTTGATAGGTGAAACCATGTGGCATTGGAAAGAGTTAGCTCCCTCTCCCCTTCCTGCATGGTTCTCATTTGAATTGGGACTACATGTAGCTATTATTTAATTATTTTAAATGTTGGGAAACTTCAGTCATGGATCCCTCAGCATTAGGGTTGCCAAGTCAAAATGTCTCACCGGCGGGGGAGCCTCGCCGGGCTCCGGGAGCCGTTCTTCTATGTGTGCGCGCGTGAACCGTGCACGCGCCACCAGCACGTCACCAGAAGTGATGCGTGACGTCGATCACATTGAAGGCATGGCCCCGATCGTCGGAGGGAAAACCATAGAGTTTTCCCTCCGATGATCGGGGCCACGCCCCCAACGTGATTGACGTGGTTGCGTCACCTCTGGTGACGCAGCCACACTGCGCTTCGGGGGGGGGCAAGTTCCCCCTGGGGCCTGATTCCGCGGCGGCGGCAATCGGGCCTCCAAAGCGGGGGTTTACCCGCCCCCGCTCCCACTTGGCAGCCCTACTCAGCATCTTGTCTGGTTAGTGAGGACTCCAAGGTAGCTCAAGATAGCAAATTAGGCCACATGCTAAAGGAGACAGTGAAAATGTCTAAGTGCCAGTATTCAGATGTGATGACTAAGAAGATTCCAAGAGTGCAATTAACATTCTTCTGCTGAAGCCTTCTCAGACGGACATTTTCTGAAAATACATTTGTACCAGTTCACCCCACCCCTACTGTTTAGGACACAGCCTCTTCCCAGTCCATGCCCCTGTTGGCTGCCTTAATGAAAGATGAACCCTTCCTTGTCTGGTGACACTATTCACCTCATAGTAGTCGTAGGAATGGTTGGTGACAGCAAATATGGGGATGATGTTGTGTCGTCCCAGCAGTCGCACGAGGGTAGGCACAGAGGGGTAATCCTGCCTGGTGTCAAAGGTGTAAGTGCCTGCTGAGGTCAGGTGGCACTGTTCATCGTTCCTCCTCAGAATTCCGGCAAGGACATTGGCACCATCAGCTTCATAATGGAAGGCAGACTCCGTAGAGAACACCAGAAGATGAGTGCTGTCTTCCCGCCAGCCGATATCCTATTGGCATACAGAAAGACAAGGCTGTAGAAGGTATTTCATAGGCTCAGAAGGATTAAGTGAGTTAGCCAGAAGTCCAAAAGCAGCTCAAGAGCTCTGCATGTGACTTTTTGGAGAGGGTGCTACAGCTACTCACTCCATGGTACATATGGCAGTTACTGCTGTTATCATACTACCAACAGGGTCAGTAAAGCCTGTAGCCCTTAGATATCACTTCCAAGTACAGCCTTGCCCAAGTTTAGTTGAGAAGAATGTGAACTTCATTTACTGTTCCTGTGCTCACATTGACAGTGCTAGAACACTTCTCCCTTATCTTGTCTCCTTAGCTCTTATCTCCTAGCTGTTGACAAGCTGCCGCTCTCTGAACTGACTATGTGCTCTGCTTCAGTATTTGGGTACCTTTACCTAACCATTTATTTTTAGCTCTCTGTCTCCTTCAGTGGCTAATCAAAGTACATACTAGCTCTATCTATATCCAATAACCTCTAATCTGATTCCAAAGCTCATCCATCTTCTTAACAAACCACCATTTATTATCTATTAAAGAAAAGCCCTGGCCTAGATAGCCACTCATCAAACTCCAAAGGCAGTGAGGCAAAGAAAGGATATAACCAAAGGATATAACCTAACGCTCACTAGGATCTATACCCTCTATAGCTTCTTCTGTGCTCACCTTGCAAACAGCTGCTTGCAGTATGGCATCAAAACCACCTTCTGGAGCATCCAAGTTGCCAGATATCCGTTCTGTCATTAACTCTTGGCTGAATTTATCAATATTGTGGGTAAGACGGATGACATTCTTAAAGGAGAAGGGAGGGTCAGCATTGGTCCAGGGCTCACGCAGCCTGAAGGCATAAGGAGAACAAGGCAGCTGTTCAGTTGTAATAAACTATTATCAGAAACACTGAAGCTGTATCTAGTATGGAAAAATACTGGTCATCTTCCATAATGGTTCAATAGCATGACTGTAGAAATGCATAGGATTTCCAGACCCCTGTTGGGGATGGGGGTCAAGGGAACCCCCACTTTTGTGATTTTTATTTGCTTTCAGCTAAGGTGATTTAGCTGAAGGTACTGGGTGGGAGGACTGTGTTTGGGAGTGTGTGGGTGAGTTTTGAGTTGTTGCAGAGTCCTGGCTGCTTGAGATAGGGCGAGAAAGGCTCATTGTTTGACTGTAATTGGATTGCCTGGATGAATTTGAATAGCTCCTGGCCCTGCCCTCTGTTGCGTGAGGCTTCTATTTAAGGCAGCACCTCGCCAGAGGCTCCTTGCCTGTGGCTCTTGACCTAGGGGCTCTGTAGGAAGCTCAGGAAGAGCCAGAAAGCCAGGGCCCTAGTCTCCTTGTGTTCCCAGTAAGGCAAGTAGACTTCTACAAGGAAAACCACTGAAATACAAAGGGTTTTAAAAGGGGGATTATGTATAATTATTAATTTAAAAGCAATTATTAAGCCAGAATGCCAGCAGGGGGTTTTGCACGGAGTGTCACATGTATGACTATTGACCACTGGACAGAAGTCTTGGGTGTATGCTCAGTGCAAGGAGTTCCTGGTTCTCAGGGAATGAGTTTGCTCCCTTGAGGCCAAGGTGGCTGACCTGGAGAAGCACAGACAGTCAGGCACATGGAGAAGACTCTCAGGCACTTGTTAGATATGTCCCACTCTGAATATGGCAGCCCCACTGCTGTCAGGGAGCAGGAGGGTCAAGAGAAGCAGGACACCGTGCTGAGGATAAGGGGAATGTGCCCTCAAAAGGGACCTCTTCTTCAGCTGGTGAATGAGTATCCTTTCACACCAAGGAACCATCCCTTGGCAGGCAGGGAGGGGGTAGTTAGTGATTCGATCATTAGGCAGGTAGACAGCTGGGTGGCGAACCTGCATACTGACCATATGGTGACTTGCCTGCCTGGTGTGAAGGTAGCGGACATTACATATGTTGTAGATAGGCTGGTAGATAGTGCTGAGGAGGAACCAGTGGTCATGGTACATGATGGCACCAACTATGTGAGGAAATGCAGTTGTGAGGTCCTGGAGGAAAAATTTAGGCTGCTAGGCAGGAAAAGGCCAGGACCTCCAAGGTAGCCTTCTCAGAAGTGCTACCTGTTCCATGTGCAGGACCGGAGAGACAGGCACAGATCAGGAGTCTCAATGCATGGATGAGACAATGGTGTAGGGGGGAAGGGTTCAAGTTTGTTAGGCACTGGGATGCTTTTTGTACAAAAGAGATGGTCTCCCCTTGTCCTGAGAAGGAGCCAGGCTGCTGGCACTTAAAATCAAAAAGGTGGCAGAGCAGTTTTTTAAACTGAATATTGCGGGAAAGTCAACAGGAGATGAAAAGTCTCTGGTTCAGGATGGCTCATCTCAAAGAGATGAAGGGGTAGCTGTTACTTTTCTACAAGGAAATGAATTAGAATTGTCCACTGAGACTGTGCCTAATGATATGGATTGCCTGGCAAAGTCTCGAGGCAGCAAGAGGAAGGTTGCGGGCTTAATATGTATGGGAAATTATAGGTGTTTATATACAAATGCTAGAAGTGTCGGAGGTAAAATTGGGGAGTTGGAATGCTTGGTGTTGGGGGGGTAGACATAGTGGGTATTTCAGAAACTTGGTGGAAAATCAGTGGGCTATGGCGATTCCTGGTTATAAATTATATTGGAAGGATGGGGGGGAGGGTTGGAGCTGGGGTGGCTCTGTATGTCAGAGAGAGTATACAGTCCAGTAAAGACTGAGAGGGTAAGAGAATTGGATTTGCTTCTTTAAATGCTATGTATTGAAATTTGTTGTTGTTCAGTCGCACAGTCGAGTCCGACTCTTCGCGACCCCATGGACGGGCTCCCACCAGGCCCTCCTGTCTTCCGCTGTCCTCTGAAGTTGGCTCAATTTCATGTTCGTTGCGTCGATGACACTGTCCAACCATCTCATCCTTTGCCGTCCCCGTCTTCTTTGACCTTCAATCTTTCCCAGCATCAGGGTCTTCTCCAGTGAGTGCTCCCTTCTCATTTGGTGGCCAAAGTATTTGAGCTTCAGTTTCATTATCTGGCCTTCCAGGGAACAGTCAGGGTTGATTTCTTTTAGGATTGACTGATTTGATCTTTTTGCAGTCCAAGGGACTCTCAAGAGTCTTCTCCAGCACCATAGTTCAAAAGAATCTATTCTTCGGCGCTCGGCCTTCCTTATAGTCCAACTCTCGCAGCCATACATGACTACTGGGAATACCATTGCTTTGACCATGCGGACTTTTGTTGGCAGGGTGATGTCTCTACTTTTTATCATGCTGTTTAGGTTCGCCATCGCTTTCCTCCCAAGGAGCAGGCGTCTTTTAATTTCATGGCTGCTGTCACAGTCTGCGGTGATCTGGGATCCCAGGAACGTGAAGTCTGTCACTACTTCCACGACTTCCCCTTCTATTTGCCAAGGAGTGATGGGGCCGGATGCCATGATCTTAGTTTTTTTGATGTTGAGCTTCAAGCCCATTTTTGCGCTCTCCTCTTTTACTCTGAGCAGGAGGCTCTTTAGGTCCTCTTCATTTTCTGCCATTAGAGTGGTATCGTCAGCATATCTGAGGTTGTTGATCTTTTCCCCAGCAATCTTAATTCCGCCTTGTGATTCATCCAGGCCAGCATTTCGCATGATGTACTCTGCATATATATTAAATAAGCAAGGTGACAATATACATCCTTGTCGTACTCCTTTTCCTATGCTAAACCAATCAGTTGTTCCATATCCGGTTCTAACTGTTGCTTCTTGGCCCTTATACTGCTTTCTCAAGAGACATGTGAGGTGGTCTGGTACTCCCATCTCTTTAAGGACCTGCCATAATTTGTTGTGATCCACACAGTCAAAAGCTTTAGCATAGTCAATGAAGCAGAAGTAGATGTTTTTCTGGTACTCTCTTGCTTTCTCCATAATCCAGCGAATGTTGGCAATTTGATCTCTAGTTCCTCTACCTCTTCGAAACCCAGCTTGTACTTCTGGCAGTTCTCTATCCATGTACTGTTGAAGCCTAGCTTGTAGGATCTTGAGCATGACCTTGCTAGCGTGTGATATGAGTGCAATTGTGCGATAGTTTGAACAATGCAAGTACAGATATCATACATGAGCAAATTTTCTGAACTGAGATGAAGTCAGAAAGGATTAACATAAAGTAAAATATTGGTTTGGGTAGGGACAATAATATAGGCATTAGTAGCAGTTTAGATAAAGCACTCCTTTTAATTCAGTGCAAGACACATATAATATCCATTAAAACAATGAAAAAATAGTCAATGGATCCAAAACCAATCATTTCCAGATGTCTCCCATCATCAGCCTCACTTACTTCTCAGGCCTCATGTCTGTTTGCGGAGCTGTAACTTTATCTACAAACTTCCCAAAGCCAATAGTGTAGTTGTCAGTCAGCTCCCTCAAGACGTTTGCTGAGAGGAAGGAAAGGAGGAAGTCAGTAAAGATGCCCTGGGAAAGCTGGTTTAAGTTCTCTCTTCCTAGCACACCTTTCCCCTGAATGTCATGCCTCAGGTGAGCACGATGAGGTCACTCGTTCCCAGAAGAAAACAAGGCTTATAGCAGCCTTTCTTTTTTTGAAATTCACTACTGCATAGGAGTGGATTAGCAGTGAATGTCAAGGACTTTTTAAATAAGCATATACCAGTAGCCAAACACATAGCTTTGGTGCTGCTCTTGGGTATCTTCAGTATGGTGATTAGGAGGGATACTACATTGATGTCTATATGTGTTGTGTTATTAATGAATGGGATGCTTCTCTTTGTCTTAACCTGGGAGCTTCTATCGGACTCTTCCTTCTCTTCTTGGGCCTTTTGTCCTCTCTGTCCTCGTGGACCTGCAAGGAGCAGGACACATCTATAGGTTGCTCCTGTGGAAGCCACACCATCTTATTTGCACGCACATGATGCTGGAGTAGCTGGCCACTCTTAATAGGAAATAGTATTTGTTAGATTAGGCTTCTTTCTCTCATTTCACTGCAACATGGATGTGAATTAAATCTACCTCAATAAATATAAGTTTTACCTTTCTGCAATATGCTCACTTGGCGTTTATTTTCTGCACACAATACCATGCTTCTATGACTGAGCAACTTTGCTGTATTAACTAATGCATATCCCCAGTCCTGATACCCTATTTCTTCTTTGCCATCTGCCTTGGGAGTTGGCAGTCTATTAATAAAATTCTATTTTTCCTCTCCATTTGTCTCATTTACCATTTTTGTTCTTACCCAGTTGCTGGCCCATTTTTTTAAGGTTGTCCAAATCATCAGACATAGAATAGGAGAAGTCCATGAGAATGTAGAGGTCCAAAGGAGAGTCAAGCGGCTCAAACACATCCATTTGAAAACTCACTTCCTCACCAGCTCGCAATTTCATAGACATCTGTTGTGGGGATACCTGTGTTCTCTTCAGAGAGGTATCAATTCTAAATTCCTGCCAGGAGAAACACCAGTATTCTTCAGTCAGAGGTTTTACAATTATATTTCATATTGGTTTTAATATGAGACAGGTGCAGGAGACAGTTCCCAACAGTGGTAGAGCACAGGCTTGGCATGCAGAAGGTGTGGTGGAAAGGGCCTGTTCTGGCATGCAGGCCCTGTTCCACCCTGTCCTCCAAGACTTTCCCAACACCAGATTGAACAAGGGATTCAAAAGAAATAGGTAAAATGCAATTCCTCTGCCCCTCTCTCTATGCATGCCCTATCAGATGCTAAAATATAAGATGGGCTTCTTAGCCTAGGAAGTTACAGATCTCTACAGAGTTACCATTACCTTGAAGCTTTCTTCAGCTGTCCTGGCCAACACATGGTTAAAGGCTGCCTCCTTCAGACCTCAGGTAAGAGTTCTGTCTGCTCTGATGTACCCAGCACAAAAGAGCCCCTCCTCCTTGCTTTCAGGAGTTTTATCTTCTCCCTTTCCCCCTCTCACTGACCCGGTCAGGCCAGGTCAAAGAAGCTTTTCCTGATGTCTCCAGAAATTTCCTTTCTGCAGTCTCTCTAGTATTTAATTCCTTTAAATCTCTGTTCCCTGCTTGGAGTGGGGGACACACACTGGACCTTCCTATTGTCTTTAGCTAGACCTATTAGTATTTCTTAAGAGGTAGCTGAGGTGAGCCTGGAAAGCCATTGACTGACTTCCTCCTCCCTGCCTGATTTCTGCCCAGAGGAAAAAACTTTTAAAACTCAGAGCGAAGATTTTGCTCATTTCAAACCTCCAAAGGAAGAATACATTTCTTCACAGAAGGTTCTAGGTCCAATCCCTGGCATATCCAGTTAAAAGGACCAGGCTGCTGCCAGTCTGAGTAGACAATACTGACCTTGATGGACCAAGGGTCTGATTCAGTATAAGGTAGCCTCACATGTGTTCAGTTATACATTAAGTGTTCCCTGTCTGTTTGCATGAAGGCTCACAGGAAAAGCACAAGAACTCTTGATGAACAGTTCTAAATCCTAACCCTGGGAATGGCCAATTGACTTCAGACACGAGGCAAATTGCCCAAATATAGCCTAACTATATATTTGCCAGCCAGATACTTGCTAGCTAGTTATTTGTTAACTATATATCAGAATAGTAAAAAGCCCAGTAGCACCTTTAAGACTAACAAACTTTATTGTATGCTACAATAAAGTTTGTTAGTCTTAAAGGTGCTACTGGGCTTTTTACTATTTTACAGCAACAGACTAACATGGCTAAATCCTATGGATCTATGTATCAGGACTTTCTCTCACCTTTAGTGACAGTATTTCTCCTTTCATGACCACAATGTTGCGCTCACTGCAGCCATACCTCACTAGTGTCTCTCTGAAATCACAGCGGGACTCTTTGAAGTTCTGAGAGAAGATAAGTGGGATAAAAAGTATGTCATGTTTAAAATATATTTTAAAAATATGTTTTGCAACATTTGCCAGGGATAATTGCTCTCTTGTTCCAGTATTAGGCTAGGGGGTCACTCCTTGAAAAATTATGACTTACATCTAGTTAGCTAGCTTTAGTTGCAACTTAGAAGTAGGTATGTAGACATTAAGAAGGCAAAATATAATGGGTTGTATACCACCCAGTGGCAGTGTAGATCCAATTTTTCACCATGTTTCTTTCAACCCATGGAAAGATGACATCTAGGGTTACAGAACCCACATGGACAAAAACCATGTGGCTCAGGAGATTGCAGTGAGGAGGGCAAATCAGGCAAAATCAGCTCTCCTACCCCTTCTACAAATGGGGCTCTGTGGCAGGGGCTTCTCTGTTCTGGCACCCTGTTTACGGGATCTCTTGCCCCTCATTTGTTTGATGGGAGCATTCTCTTGGATTTTAGGCACCAGGTGAAAATTGTGCTTATTAATCCTTCTTTTCTCTCTACTTGGATATCAGTTTAATTGTTGAAAGTTATTGTTTTTATTGCTCTTGTGCTGGATCCTACCAGTTTTCAACTGATGCAAGCAGGAGGCTTGATCTCACTTAGTTTCCTCCTCATATCTTTTTGACCATGTGGATCTTTTAATCCCTGGCATAAACTTGGGGGAGGGGGTGCCAAAAGAAGCTGTTAAAGGAAGGGGAAGGTGGGGGATAACCTGCTTCCACCATGGAAAAGCTGCTAGGATTCAACCTGTGGCTTCAGATTTTATTGTATGCTGCCTGGAGAATTTTGTGTTGAGAGGTGGTTTACAAACACATGAAACAACCAAACAAAACAATACGTCCTGCTGCCATTCATCAAAGGTAGATACTAAATCCACCAGCACCATTTTGTGTATTCTTTTAGAACCGAAAGGTGCGATACAAATCCTATGTACAAACATAAATAAGCAGACAAATGAAATGTAGAGTAACCAAGTAATATGTATGCATTGTGTACCCGCCCTTGATTACTGTTGTACACTTGACGAGTGATAGCTGAATGTATGACCTATGCCACCAAACTGTATGATGTTTGAAGTGATGAAAGTTCTTGTTTGTGGCATTATATTTCTGAGGGCTCATTCACACATGCAAATCAGCACTTGGTACTACAGTTATTAAGTGATGGACATGGAGGAGTGAACCAGCCTAAGCATGTGAAACAGAAATAAATTTAACAGCATTGTTGGAGTTGACAACGTTGCTGGTATTGGAGAGACGGCTGAAAGCTTTTTCTGACTCCAGTGTTTTGCTTAACGGTTTTGGTCGGCCATGGCTGTGGCACAGCTTCACGCTTATTCCTTCACTGAGGATACAAAATATGAGCAGGAGCTGGGAAAGGACCCCAGTTCACCTTCCTCGGAATGCTATATATTGGCCCCGGTCACACGGGCCGGATATCACAGGGGGGAGGCGTGGCTAATTGCCCCGGCGCAGTTTGATCCATGATTACGCGATCAGACGCGCCGGCAGCACACCACGGGTCCTTCCCTTGGCACTGGCGGGTAAATGAGGGTGGCGATCACACAACGATCCTGCAGCATGGCAAAGAAGCAGCGTGGCGCGATCACACCAGCAATGGCTAGGCGCTGCCGCCGTGGCAAACGGGGTCATTTATTTTCTTTTAAGCCGAAGGACAGAGGAGTGGAACTTTTGGTTTCGCGTTCAACGGCATGCACGATTCTGCGCAGCAACAGAACTTTCGCTGTCCTCTTCATGCGCAAGCACCGTTGGGTGCTTGTGCGCATCCTGTGGAGACTTGGGGGGGGGACTTTTCGCGATGGGACATGAGCGGGTGCCGGATGCCATGAGCTACCACTAGAAACGTGATCAGACGCCCGCCCTTGCCTCGCGGTTTCTGGAAACTAGTACCTCGGAGGTACTAGTTTTTTATGGTGCATCTTCGGCGGGAAGCCTCGGGTTAGCCACGGGAGCTCTAAGCTTCCCAGATGTTGCGGTTTGATCGCGCCCAGAAAATCCGCCTATTTTCCGTCTCTGTAGCGTGGCTAATGCTCCGTGTGACCGCAGCCATTATTTGTTTGTTGTTATTATCCTGCTCTTACTGCACTGTTTTCTGCTTTTGTAATTTGTTTCTGTGCATTGCTTGACATATCATGTCTGATACTTTCTTGTGCTGTTTCTAATGCTAGTCTTATTGCATTGATTCTTAGATCTCATGCCATTTGATTACAGTGTGTTACACCATGTAATCTATGTCTCACTCAGGAAGGTGGACTATAAGTAAATAAAAGCAAGAGATCTAGAGATTACACACATAGTCAACATCTCCTGGTGATCCCTGGCCCAAAGGACGCCCGCCTAGCCTCGACCAGGTCCAGGGCTCTTTCTGCCCTGGCCCCTGCCTGGTGGAACATGCTCCCCATTGAGATCAGGGCCCTGCGGGATCTCATTCAATTCCACAGGGCCTGCAAGATGGGGTGTTCTGCCAGGCCTTTGGCTGAGGCAGTGGGCGTCCACACTCCCCCCCCCCGAGGTTACTGTCTCCCACCCACTGATAACCGGCCATATTTATCTACCTCAATAGGCTGGTTTCTCCCTACAGCAAGCTGTGATTATTGATGTTATTGATTATTGATTTTATATGTTTATAATGTGTTTTAAATTTTATTGTATTTATTGAAATGTTGTAACCCGCCATGAGCCCGTCTACAGGATGAGTGGGATATAAATGCAAAAAATACATAAATAAATAAAAAATAAACCCCCTGCTGAAGAGATACAAGCGGGGACTGACTTGCTAGAGTGGGCAGGGCCCTCATGAGGACAGCAGCATAAAACAAATCCCCTGTGTAATCATGATCAATATTGCAACCATGGTACAGAAAAAAGAGCTATGTGCATGTGTCCAAAACTCGGTTAAGTTTGGTGCTGAGACATATGGGTATGAAGCCCATGCTCAGTGAAAGAGAAGTTCCTACCTCATCAGTGCAAAAAGAACAGTCCTTGTTCACTCGGATACATTCAGTGCAGCTTTTTGCCCTGGAAGCCACACAGCGATTAACTAGGAGACAAAAGCAACATGTCAGACATATGGGAATGGACATGAAAGGGAGCATGGAAGGTCTGTCCTCACTCCCAGGGCTATTTTTGGGCAGGAACACACAGGAACAGAGTTCCGGCTGGCTCCCAAGTTGGCCACGCCCAGCAGGAACTCATTAGCATAATAGGCCACACCCAACAGCAGAAACTCATTAGGATTGGCTACATTAGGGGTGTGTGGCCTAACATGTAAAGGAGTTCCTGCTACAAAAAAGGCCTTGGGTTTTGACAACAAACAAGGTAAACAGAATAACAAGCAAAGGTGGGTGTGGCTGGATAACCACACTTCTGGTAATGTGTGGGTGTGGCCTAATGTGCTAATGAGCTGTGCTGTCAGGGGTGTGGCCCAATATGCTAATGAGTTCCTGCTGTTGGGTGTGGCCTATTATGCTAATGAGTTCCTGCTGGGCTTTTTCTACAAAAAGAGCCCTGCGTCACTCCCATTGCACTTAACATACAAAGTGCTTTCGAACTTGGGTGAAGTACATGCCAGAGCATTCTGCCAACTGATCCAGTACTATAATGGCAAGGGAGCCATTACTACCACAGACAAGTTTTTCCCTTCCTGTCATAAGAAATTACTAAATCATCACCTTTCCAGTGGGGCATAAAGTACCAGCATAAAGTTGTACCACCAGTTTCTCTACCAGTACTTTCAAAACAATGGTATATTTTAGCATTCTTTGGAAGTAGGGGTGCTGAACTTACTTCTGTTTCCTTGGCTCAAGCGCATGGTATAAGGCAGTGACAACAGAAGTAGCCAAGGCAATGACTTTTGGAGTAGCTTGGCCATTCTGCTTCTGAAATGCAAACACCAGCAGAGTCAGAAAAAAACACAAATAAGCAAACAAATTGCCATTAACACACTCTGAGCAATAATCGCTCCAGTAGATGATATATAATAAGGCAGCAATATTCACCGTGTGGCTTGAGAGCCACATGTGGCACTTCTGCCCACCTAATGTGGCATCTGCCCCATGTTTCAGGAAAGTAGGCAAAGCCCGGGCTCAGTGGGGCTTGTGGTTAGCAGGTGGTTTCCACCTTGAAACAGCCACTGCAAGAGGAATGGGTAAGCTATGAGGCTCCTGAGGTGCACGCATCATGCCAAAGATGAAAGTAAATATGGCTCTTTAGCTTGATGGCATTGTCAGTGTGTCTGTCCATGAACCATGGAGTGAGTACCACTGTGATAAGGGAAACCTTTTAAGAAGACTGGCTTTTGACTCACGAAAGCTTTTGCTAGAATAAATTTTGTTCAGGTGCCACTAGATTCTGGCTTTATTCTGCTGCTATGCACTAACACAGCTACCCATCTGGAATTACAGTCATGATTATCAAGCAAGGCCTCCCTGAAAAGTTAAATCACTACATACTTATGGAACCCACTACACCACGATCTAGACCTGGAGACCAAGCCCTATGAGGAAAGGCTGAGGGACTTGGGACTGATTAGTCTGGGGAAGAGGAAGTTGAGGGGGGACATGATTGCTCTCTTGAAGTACTTGAAGGGCTGTCACTTAGAGGAGGGCAGGGAGCTGTTCCTGCTGGCAGCAGAGAACAGGACTTGCAAGAATGGGTTTAAATTAAGGGCAGGAAGGTAGCAGTGGAATCAGCTGCCCAGGGAGGTGGTGAGCTCCCCCTCACTGGCAGTCTTTAAGCAGCTGCTGGACAAACACTTGTCACAGATGCTCTAGGCTGATCCTGCATTGAGCAGGGGGTTGGACTAGATGGCCTGCATGACCCTTTCCAACTCTGTGAGTCTATGTCCACTAACTTGGATGTGTTTTTTTTTTAAAGCATGACATGTATCAATAGAGAAATCTATCAGTATCTTCTATCCATAACAGGTAAATGGAATTTCCATGTTCAGAAGCAGTATGCCTCTGAATAGCATATACTGGGGAGAGGGGAGAGGGATATTGCCTTCATGCCCTGCTTGCGACCATCAGAAACATCTGGCTAGCTGCTCTTTCAAGCAGAAGGCTGGGTTACACGTACCTTTCGATCTACCCACGAAGGTTCTTCTTTATGATACTTTCATCTATGTTCAAGGAATCAAGCAAAGGTGAAGTGAGCTGCAAGAAAGGGAATGATTCTCTAGTAAGATTTGATGTTTCTTATTCTGAAATAATTTATCATGAAAAACCATTGGTACACAGAAGGGTGTGGAGTATACTATTCCATGAAGACACAAGTGACCTGGGAAAACCTGAGTGATGGAATTCCTCAACAATCCTGAGTCAACACTTGTCCATCTATAGATGTCTACAGGAATACCTGAACTCTACCCTAAAAGATATAAAATGTTGTGCCCAAACCTCCTGACTTCTGTGACCTGTTCAAGATTATGTATGTATTTGCTTATTTTCCTTTACTTCTTTTGCTTCTGCTAAGGGCAAAAAGCTGTATAGGATACCTAAGCCACATTCCTGATGACTAGAAGTCCTTCTCAGGCCCTCTTTAGAGGCTTAAATTTGCCTAGGCAATGCCTTTACCCTTGCAAGCCTATTGTCAGAACTGTATGGTTTAGACACTTAATTATTTTACATTGCAAAAAATTGCTGATTCCATGGTCAATAAAAATTGGGGTCTTGCAGCAATACATTCCCAGAGTCACAGATCTCCATATTATTATTGTGTTATAGAAGTGATGGAACCAGGTTCTAACGTAGACAGATTCTTGGAGAATAGGTTCATCAGTGGGTACTAATCATGGCGGCCAACGGTAACCTTCATATCTGGAGGAAGCAACAGCAGAGGAAGCCCTTGACCCCTTTGCTGGCCCTTCATAGCTCTTGTTTGGTTTGGCTGTTGTGTGAAACAATATGTTGGACTATATGGACCACTAGTCTGGTCCATCATGGCTCTTTTTATGTTCTTATATGTGGAATGGTGATCAACCAAGGAGATGCTGTGTTTGAAGCAACCATGATTTCTGCAGTAGCAATAGTACGTGGGGGGAGGGGATGCAATTAACTCAAAAAAATCACATGAAGGCCAATCTGTAAAACAGACCCACAGGTGCCTTCCTCACAGTACCCTGAACGCTGTAGTGGGGGGTTTGCATATTTAAATGTTTCCTCCTCCTGAACAAAACCGTTCACATAGAAAATGAGTGTTTCAGGAACAAGTCTAGACTGAACTTATCTCCTTGCCATGTAGCTTTCCAGCATGCAGGGAGTTTTGTCTTTGAGGAAACGCATGAAAAACCCCAGCAGCAATGATCTGAATAAGGAAAGTCCAAGCAAAGAATCACCACCAACGGGCCCCAAATCCTGAATCATGTTCTCAGAGAAGCTCCGCTTCAGTCTAGCTTCTGGAGATAGCCTGTGAGTTTTGCAAGGAACAGTGCTTTAACTCCCTAAAGGTAATTTTGCTTATCTTTGATTGCAAAGAAGCTGAGGAATTTGCTTTACCTTGAACTAGCAAGCCTGACCTTTATTAACCTTACTATAATTGCAATAAAATCATTTAGGATGCCTCATAGGAGGGGGAGAGAGTCATTATCAAACTTGACCAAAGGAAAAGCAAACATAAAGAATACAAATCATGTGCAAAACCAGGAATGTACTTCTTGGAACAGCAGAGATTTAAAAAGTTTGGCCTGGCTGAGGAAGAAAGAACTCAGCACTGTGGGACTTCTATTATATATACTGTTTATCAGTGGCTGGTGGAGCTGCATTGGGACAGACCTTTGCTAATTCAAGGCAGGAAGCTCTTTGTGTACATGATTCACAGTGAGAATAAGCACCTCCTTTTCCTGACGTGGGGGCCTACTAGATTTACGAGAGACTGTGGAGAAGAAAAACAAGGTAACGCTCAAAACAAGCCCCTCCTTTCATCCATTTCCTATTGTGCTAACAGTTTCCAGAAAGGCACAAGCCCAAAAAAAAAATGTTGGGAGGGGCATGAAAAATGCCAGGTTTCCACAGGAAGTCACGCTTTAGAGCCTGTGACAGGTTCTTGAATATTAGGCTCATAGGCCTCTACCAATTTTAGTGTTTACATCCTTTACATTCTGTGGTGTGAAGTTGGTTATAAAATGTTGAACCACCAAGGCAGTGTTTTTCCCTGTGTGCCACATCTTTTCAAGATTCTATCTAATTATAACATATCTCAACATGCTGCTGGAAATTCCCAATTAGAAATTGCTATCAATGTAAAAAAAGAAAGCAGAATGTGAACTTAAATCTGTGATGAAGCTCTTTTTTTCCTATGATTGACATGTGTGCTGTTACAGAACACTTAAAAAACATTGTCAGCCACTTTCTGTATTGAAAATATTTATACTCTGCACTGTCACCAGGTTGGTTCTCAAAGCATTTTGAAAATGTATAAACACAAATAATATTTGATAAGTGAGTTATCTTCTGCAGAAGAGTTTGCAGACTGCATCACTCCACAAAGGGTCACATCGAGGAGGGGAGATCATCTTAAATTACCACTTTTTTCTTCATATTGTGGAATGTTTTGTACAGGAAGCAAATGAGGGGTTGCTTCCACATAGGGACAATTCCCCATTGTGGAGTCATCGCTGCTGCAAATGCAGAGGCATTCAAAGCAACAACGGAATGTCCACACTGTGAAATTTTCCATTCTTTCCTCCTTATCCCCTTGTACCTGCAATTTCCCCCCCACCGTGTGTTGCTGAAGGGCTTTTTGCCTTCTTAAAAAATCAGTAGAAGGTGTATTGCTGCTACCTTTTAAAAGGCAAGAAGCTCACCAGAATTGAAAGGGAGGGGAGAGAACGACAGGTATTGAGGTAGAGGCAGGGGAAATTATGCTGGTTCAGAAATCTGTACCAAGTGGGAAAACTCACTTTCTCTGATATTTCTGGAAGCAAACCTCTGGAAACCACAGAATGTGATGGAAGGTGCACAGGTGGAGGATGAAACCCTGCTCCATTTTGTGAGCCAGTGCACAGCAGATCCTCCATGCAGAAGGAGACACAGACCAAGAAAGTGTTCTGGGCCCATAAAAAAAAAAATGTTCCTGCCTTCCCCTACCTGTAGGAACCCCAAATATCCTCCAAAATCCAGAGAAAGGAACATAGTTGAGGAGAGGGCATTTTAGGATGCTGGAGGAAGGCAGGGGGAGGAAAATTATACTTCATGAACAGAAGTGGTTGTGTCTAACCCTTCAATTTTAATTTTGCAGCTCAGCAAGGTTCTTCTGTAATTAAGGTGGTATGTTTCTGGACTTATATGAATATTATATATAGAGTAGCTGGGTAATAAAGCCACGGTTTTGCATAAGCTTTCACTGACTAATTTGCAGTCATTTGCAATTAGTGGATACTTTATGCATACAGCAGAGCAATAGTACTGAAGGTGAAACTATCCACAGCAGCTGCATACTGTGTAGAAACATACCCCTGGCTTCACTCTCTCTAGAATTCATTAATAATACTTTTGTAATATAGGTATGCTTTTACTGACTGCAACAGACCATGTAAGTAAAGGTAAATGTTTCCTTGCTTGAAAGCCAGTCGAGTCCGACTCTAGGGTTGCGGTGCTCATCTCCGTTTCAAAGCCAAAGAGCCAGCGCTGTCCGAAGACGTTTCTGTGGTCATGTGGCCAGCATGACTAAACACCAAGGCGCACAGAACGCTGTTACCTTCCCACTGAAGTGGTACCTATTTATCTACTTGCAATTTCTTGCTTTCGAACTGCTAGGTTGGCAGGAGCTGGAACTAGAGACGGGAGCTCACTCCGTCATGCGGCACCCGGGTCTCAAACTGCTGAACTACCGACCTTCCACAGCCTGCAGTTCAGTGTCTTAACCACTTGAGCCACCGCAGCTCCTAACAGACCATGTAACAGTGAGGAAATTAAACCCCTTAAAGTTTCCTACCAACACATTTCCCTAATTATTTCCTAGGTTGCTTGCATATCCTCTGACCAATGTTTTCTCAAACTATTTTATGAAGTGCAAAGATTAATTTTTATGTTTAGGGGTATTCAGAAATGGTTAAAGTAGTTTGAGTTCCTATCAGCCTTTGATTATTCTTGAAACACCTTCTCAGTCCTCATTTATTTCCTTATCAATATTTATTACATGGAACTTCTCTCACTGTCTTTCAGTTTCAGTAAGGGTTTGATTGAAAGACACAGTGCTCAACAGGTAAAGAAGCAATTCAATGACTGACCAACACTGAGACACAATGGAAATCGTTATGAAAATCTGAGGGTTTGGCATACATTGTCACACCAGTGAAATGCCAGTGCCTTGGGTGTCAGAGGCATTCTACAAAGTTTTTCAAAGTTTTGTTCTTCAAGATCTCAGATATCAGGTACTGAGCCTGAGAATATGCAAAGTGTATGCTCTGCCATCTTTGGAACTGAGTAGAGTTAGGTAGTGTAAACCCAGAAAAACTTCAGGATGAAAACAGATATTACATTTTTAAAGTGCTTGTACAACATTCAATTTAAATTCGGAGTTTTCCTCTGCAAGGCTTAGATATAAAAAATGGAACCACAGAAACCAGTCATGTGGAGCTCTGGTCTCATGAGGTCACCAAGAAACCTCCCCCATAACCCCAGAGCACTTTCATAGTGTTTTTTTTAAAATTAATACAGTGACAAATGCACAGATATCTGATGTATGTTCATATGATGGTTTGAAAAGGAGGCACGTGGAGAGAAGCAAGAATGAGGGTTGAGTCAGCATTTGATTTGTTGTTATGCACATCTGTCATTGCAAGGCCAAGAGGAAGACAGATTCAACTGCAGCTGAGAGAAGTGCTGTAATATTAAGTTTGTCTTCATTCTCAGTTTCTTCCGCAAACAATAGCACTCTAATGCCATCAGGCTCTATTCACAGCGCACTGATGACTCAAATGACAAAACTACAGAATGCTATATTTTATTTCTATAAAGTGATTCCCTGATAATTAGTTTTTTAAAATCTGGAAATGTGGATGAAGAAGGATCTCAAAGATGGCACCAGAAGTGCTTTGTATGCAGTGTTCCTAAAGCAATTAGCTTAGGGTGGCACCATCCTGTCCAACTGTATGTAAAAAGTCTGTTTTTACATACCAGATGGGGGGAGATGTAGGAGGTAGGGGTGTGCAAAA